CACATCCTTAATGACAGTAAACAACTCTTGGGTGTTTCTGTAGTGACCTTGAAAGAGCCTCCTGTTTCTTTCTTCCCATAGGACATAGATGAGAGAATTAAGAGCAAGCTTCAAAATCAAAGTTAGCAAAGATTTATCTTTCCAAGTAGAGCTTGCCCACGAAAAAAAAAGCATCCCAAGAGGTTAAGGAATGTTGCAGACCAGTGTGGTGAAAACATAATTCCATAATTGTTGAGCCATATGACAATGGAGGAACAAGTGCTCCCTTGTTTCCCAAGGATCGTTACAAAATAAGCAATGGCATTCATTGATAATCCCCATTTGGTGAAGTCTCACTTTTATTGGAAGTCTATCAAGTAATGTCATCCAAGAAATCAAGTTGTGTTTAGGAATGTGTAAAAGAAACCAGATAATTTTCTGCCAGTGGACTTGGGATCTGTTATCACGAATTGCATCCTAAATTACAGAAACTTTCATTGTTCCAGCAGACAACACTGAGGAAGCCTCAGTTCTAAGTTTAAAAATACGCCTTAAGTTCCAGCTACAAGAGGGATGAACATAAAAACAAGATTGTACACGAAATAAACATGACAATTTTCCTCAATAATGAGGCTAATTCAAAGGCAGCGGGTAAGAAGTTTCTATCTCTTTGGGGTGGTCATATATTTAAAATTAATTTATTAAGTACATTTTCCTCAATAATGAGGCTAATTCAAAGGCAGCGGGTAAGAAGTTTCTATCTCTTTGGGGTGGTCATATATTTAAAATTAATTTATTAAGTATTATTTTTTATATACGTGCCGACTCTAAATTTAATTTGTGTTTTTCCTAAATTTTTTTGTGCTCACCCTGGATTTATTTATGTCAAAAAATAAGTAAAAATGCATATTATAAACATTATTTTTATTTGAGTTTAAAAATATACTCATCAAGGCCGAATTTAAATAAAACAAAAATATATTTAGTCAAAACTCAAATCCAATATGCAACTCAAATGTAATATTCAATCCAGATCCAATACTCTTAACCTCAATAGCAATCGGTAACCGATCAATTCAACCCTTCTAAATTCACTTTGCACCTAATATTGGAAACCAACAACATCATTCACTTTGTAAGGTTATTGATGGGTTGCTACATTGGTTGTGTCCATGATGAATTTTCCTCCGTGTTTGGTGCTGATGGTGGAAGTGACAAATGTAGTGGTTGCGTTTGTGACGGCGATATCGTCGTGGAAGAGATCAAATCAGTATACCAGAGCCACTGTTTTTTAACGTGATTTTGTGTGATGGGGTCTGTAAAATCTATTAAATATCATATAATTCATTATTTAACCAAATAAGTAGTTTGGTTTAGTGGTAAAGGTTATGCTATTCTATAGCTTTTGTCCAGGTTTGATTCTCCTCCCTTATGTTTCCCTTTTTAATAGATGCTTTAAACAAACACCAATCGTAAATAATTAAATATAAATAATATTAATCATAAAATTATTATTTTTAAAAAATCTGACGTGTCTGTGTCACGTTATCATGATCTCCGACATAGACATGGCACGCCAGTTTCTATGTCCTTGTGTGCTTGCTCTGTCAGCGTCTGACGTTGAGCGTCAGTTGACTGACGATTTCCATCCATCAAGGGTGATTTTTGATCTAAAGTTAAATGTTCAGTCACATTTCCCTTTGACCCATCGAACCGACTTGTTGATGAACTCTTCACCGTTCCCTTTGAAATTGTTGAGGACCTTGACGGCAACCGAGACATCGTTGGAGAGTGTTCCTTTATACACTGTCCCGTAACCACCTTGGCCCAGTTTTTCCTTGAACTGAAACGTAATCCTCTTGATATCGGCATATGAGTATCTCGAGGGCTTGAGAGCATTGTAATCTTCCAACAACTGTTCGATTTATACTGAGCGTCCTTCTTCATTTTACGTAGATGGTACATCCAAAGCAATCCGATGAGACATGATACAAGAACAAATCCACCGACTGTTAAACCTGCAACGAAGAAACAGGGTTGGATCCTTGTAAGAAATTAGAATTGATGTTGCATTAATTTTCTCATTAGATGGAAAACTAAATGTACCTGAAATCATCAGCTTCACTTTTAGACCTGTACATGACATTTACAACTTTATCAGCACACTATGTTTATCATGGTTTTCAGAACCGGACCGGTCAACGAATCGACCGTGCTACTTGTTCACTAGTTTAATCGGTCGAACCGGTCAGACCGGTCGGAAGAACCGGACGACGTCATAATTAATTAATTATTTAAAAAATTAAATAAAAATACCAAAAACATTTCATAAAAATCAGATTTTTATATCACAAGTCATATTCAAAGCAAGTCATAACATATATAAGTTAAAAACCATAAAATCAAGTTAAACAAAATGATTTAAATCAACTACAACATAATATTTAAGGTAAAACATATTAAATAATAAATATAATTATAAAACTATAATCAAAAAAATAAATTTGGGGCTACAAAAATCATAACAAACGATGTCGTTTGGTTTAATTTTTTTAAAAAAAAATCTCACATGGCTAAGAAACATAGAAGAGCATCACAAAAGTCTAAAGAGTAAAAATATGAAAACAAAACAATCCTTCATGACTAAGAAACATAGAAGAGCATCTCAACTGACTTCTATAAATAATAAAGGTAATTTGACATTCAAAATCATGGAGCCTTTTGGTGAGCACAAAGCGAACTATTCTTTCGCTTCAATCGAGCTCGAATTTCAGCCTTCAATCGAGCTTCTAAATTTTTTTATGTTCGAGCCTTTTTGAGTTCAAGTTTCAATATTATATTTCGAGTTCGAGTTGAACTTGATAATTTTTAGCTCGTGAGTTTTTTAGTCGAGTTGAGCTTACTTTTAAAGTTTTCGAGTTCGAGTCGAGCTCAGCAATACTCGAGTTCTCAGCTGGTTCACGGTTCGAACGGTTCACAGCCGGTTCAGTGGTTCCTTCCGGTTAACTAGTAGCAGTTTAACCGGTGTAGAGTGAACCAGACCAGACAACGGTTCCCGGTTGAACCGGCCGATCCGGTCCGATCCGGTTTTCAAATCACTGATGTTTATAATCAAAATTAAACTATTGAGGTAACGGAAAAGATTTGATTGATACAAAATTTTCTTTTGGATTATAAAGGTAACAGGGAAAACTACTTATTTGGTCATTCACCTATTATTTAGTTTCTGTTTTGGTCATCAAACTTTAAATTTTTTATTATCAAAATCATATTTAATGTTACATTTTAATTATGTATCTTTTAACGGCATGTGACCAAAACAGACGTAACGTTAAGTATAATCTTTTAAAAAGTTAACAGTCAAATGACTAAATCATAAACTAAGTAATTGATTGTAATTTACTTAAGCTAATATTTTATTAAGATTTCATTTTAAAAGTTGCTTCTTCGAAAGCTTTAATTGGAAAAAGAGGTAAGTCAAGTGTCAATAAAAGCATGTATTGGAGGAATACTTTTCTCTTCAAAATGATAAGCATGAAGCAACTACCAGTGATTCAAATTTAACGGTAAGGTAAATTATAGGAAGAATGGAAATTGATTTATGAAGAAGCTACCCATATGTTTGATAGGGATGTCAAAGCATTCAAAGCCCGAGGAGTTGGTCTCATTTCGTTGACAACCTTGGCGGCCTAATTCGCAGTAACCGCACCCCGGCCGGCTCCAATGGAAGTGAAAATTGTTACTCCTATCAAATATCAACGCTACCGGAATCCGTGTAATAAATTGGTGATTGCACAATCGGAATCCGTGTACTTAACGTAGAACCCTGGCTTAGTACTTAAGCAAGGGATGATATCATAATCGCCAAAGTTGGATTGGCCTCCGTCCGAGCATTCGGACAAGATACTGTTTTCGTAATAAGAATCAGAGTCGGAGCTGAGCCTGAGATTGAAAGGAGACGACGACTCAAGTTTCCAAGTCGACTCTTGTTATTTTTTTTTTTTTTTTTGATAACGTAAGACCTCCCAAGGTCAGACTAAATAACTCGACCCTACAAGGCAACCTCTGGAGGGGCTCAAAGAACACACCACTATGTCTTCCCGTTTTTTTCCAGGATTCTTAGCCAACGCGGTTCGAACCTAGGACATGAGACCAACTCATAATCCCAAGAGCCCTTGCTTTGCCAACTGGGTCACGCCTGTTTTTGGCCTAACGATATTTTTTTACTTCCAATTTATTTTTAGACAAAATAATTTGTCTTTAAATTTTCATTTTTTTATTTTCTTATTAAATTAAGTAATAGAAGAAAATAGCGAAAGCTGTTAAGCTGGTCTCAAATTCTTTTAATTTCGATTTTTTATTTTCTAATAAATTTTATTATTTCATAATTTATAGAATTTATAAATTTAAAATATTTTTAATTTTACAAAAAATAAAATAGATAATATTATCAATGACGAAAGCATAAAATAATTTAGTTTAATTTAGAAATATGTTATATTTTTATTCATTATTCAATAAAAAATCAAATTTAAAATTTAAAAGAAAAAACACTAAAATAGTTTTTTTTTAATATCACTATACCGAGTAGAAAGTGCAAACTCGGAGAGTAGGGACTCTTGTTGTTTACTCTGACGCTAAACCCCCGGCCGGTTGATTTTTGACTTTACCTTTTTGATTTTCAAGATTTTAAATTATTTTTATATTTAACCATTTTAAATTTAAATCAATAAATTTAAAATGGAAATTCAAATAATTTATAGATATTCAAATCCACATTTAATAAAAATGTTTAGTCATTTATATATATATATATATTAGAAAATAAACCGGCAGAATAAAATTAAACAATATTATTTAAGTAATTTCTTTAATTTTTGTTGAACATGTAAGTTGTACATGTGAGAAACATAATACAATTCAACCTTATCGTTGAAATCCACTTGGCTAGGCTTGTAAACAAGAATGGCCACCCTCTGTAATAATCTAACAATTAAAAGAAATCCAACAGTATCGCATATTTGGACAATCAGAGAGTTGAGAGATCTGACTGTTCGATGAAATAATTAAGCAGACACAATGGTTCCAACATAACCAGCAGCTGCCAAAAAGAAGGCAATGGATTGCAAGAACAGGAATATGAAATACCCATTCTTCCCGAAGGCCAAATCATAGCACCCACACAAGAATAGGTATGCCCCGATTCCAAGCTCCAGTAGATGGACTCTGTTCATTTATATCCACCAACCACATATCAATCAGTCACACCAACACTTCAAGAAAAACGAAAAAGCCGGAACCAGTTCGATCGATTAAGAGTAGTTTACCTTTCTCCGATACGAATACGAGGCTTCCTCGGAGGCTTACCGTCTGATTTAGGCTTCAGAGCGTCTCCCAATTTCTCTGTAACGACCCATTCATTCACTCTTCCTGCCTCCAGCAGACCGATGAATGTCGCCTTTGTCCTATGTAAGGACATGACATTCTCGAACAGGATCCAGAATAGTACTAGATGCAATGATCTTGGAGTTCCGACGGCATTGAGTAGAGTGATAATGGAAGGAATATAGACAGCGCCCCACTTCGGAACTTCGATTTCGGGAAAAAACACGGTTGCAGGCAAGACAACGCAGTAGAACACGAATGTGACGATGTGTGCCACTATCTTTCGGACAAAGAAGAAACTATAAATCACATATAGCTTCTTCCACAGTGAAACTCTCTGCAATGATATGCACAATTCCATTCAGTAATATGGTACATATTAGGTTACCATGTATAAGATTTATATGTACATATACCTTGTTTCTCATGATCTCTGTTACCATTTTCTTGAAGAGGTTTGCAGGGCCACATGACCATCTGTGCTGTTGAAACCTGTAGGCTTTGAAAGTACTAGGCAATTCATTTTTCACCTTGAGGTCACCGGCGTAAACGAATTTCCAGCCTTTGAGACTAGCTCGGACAGACAAATCCATGTCTTCAACTGTTGTTCTGTCTTTCCATCCTCCTGCTTCATTGATTGCTGAAATTCTCCACACGCCAGCCGTCCCTGCAGCCATCATAGAAACCGTATGGCGTTCATTACAGGACATAAAAGCCGTCGATCGATGTCATATGAGGTTTGTGTGAAATTCAAAGAACTACCATTGAAACCGAAGAAAGCATAGGTGGAAGATCCCACTTCTTGCTCCACTATGAAATGGTAATCCAATGACATCTCTTGCATCCTTGTCATTAGGCATTCATCCGAGTTCACTGCAACACATCCCACACATGCTTCAAGCCATGACTAGATCAAAAGAAGCATAACAAGAGGGAGGTTTTAATGAAAGGTTACCGAATTTCCAACGAGCTTGAACTAGTCCAAGTTCAGGGTTGTTAACCAGAAACGGGATGGATCGGTTTAAGAAGTCCGGCTCGGGCTGGAAATCGGCGTCAAAAATGGCAACATAATCACATTGTTTAACATAGCTATGCTTCATCCCTTCTTTTAGAGCACCTGCTTTGTATCCATTCCTGTTGTCCCTTATCTCGTACTTTACGTTCACGCCTTTGCTGGCCCATCTTTGGCATTCGAGCTGCACCAGAGTCTACACCACCATACCATTAGAATGTATCCTACACTGCAATTAAAAAATCTACGTGAAAAATACACCATTACATGGTTTAATGAGAGCACCTTAATGGCAGGATCCGTTGAATCATCGAGCACTTGAATTATGATCCGATCAGCCGGCCATGAAAGCCCACATGCAGCTCCGATCGACAACTGATACACCTATATATCCAACACAACACTAAACATAAGCAAATTTCACTACATATATATATAAATAAAGAAAAGTATATTATATATACGGATAACGGACCTCTTTTTCATTATACATTGGGATTTGAACTAAAACCATGGGATAACCCGAATACCCAAGTTCAACATCGTCCTTCATCGGCTCCCATTTATACATTTTCTCAGGTTTTCTCCGAAGCAACTTGACAAAAGCTATCACAATCCCCATATAAACCCTTTCGATAAAAAGCATTAAGGACATTGCCAGGCACATAACCACCATGACTTTCAGCACTGGCACCAACAATGGCGCCCTCGTTTGCTCCCAGATCAACCCAAACTGACCCGAAATCTCCATCACTATGTATATTTTGTTTAGCTCTGATGGAGTACCGACCAGACAGATGAGAAGGCTGTCTGAGAAAGTGGGATTAATATATGAGGTTTGGTTTAGCTTGGCCTTTGCGAAAAGAACACGAATCTTCGGTTTGGTTTTGGGATGTGAGTGATTATTTGGTTTTTGCTTGTGAGTTACGAATAGGCAATGTTGTAGAAACAGCAAGCTGGAAACTTTGTGTCAGTAAGTAGATCAAAAGCACTCCATTGCAGCTTCTAGTCTTCCTATACAATTCTCTCTCTCTCTCTCTGTCTTGTTTAGAGAAGAGAGACAGTAATTAAGAGCTTGATGCACACCCAGTTTCTAATCTTCATATATATATATATATATATATATTATATGGTAAAATATTGTAAAGAATAATTGGTCAAAAGGAAAGGGACTGAGGATCCTAAACCTGCAATGAAAGTCCAAACCCTGCAACTTTTTATTTACAACTTCATTTTTAAATATAAATTTAATGTCAACTTCCAAATTTAGTTTAATTTAGCTTACCCAAAAGAGTTTAGACATTGCTTTCGATCAACTTTAATAAGGGAAGATTAATTTATTTAGTTCTCAGTTGCATGGAAAATTATTTAATTAAATGGTGGAGATGAAATTTGAAGTTCAGATTCAGGGTGCTATTGAATAGGTTGACTGCATTTTGGCAGGATTATGTTTCATTAATTTGCTAATTATTTTTTTCTCTTAATTATTCTTAAATGATTGTTAGACCAATCATCATTTGTAAATTAACCAAGTAAAGTACATGGAAAAGTTGGTAAATTATGAATCTTTTGCCTCCTCCAACTTCCCATTTTATTATTAACTTTCACACGTTGGGGAAATGATGGTTAAAAAAATAGAAACATATGAAATATATTTTAATAGAATAAGATTTATTTTGAATGATAATTAAGCTTAGAAGGTAGGGGTGTCTCAACTTGAATTTAGTTCCACCGTGCGTATATTAAGGGGAGGTTTTTATTGATAAAGTAAATGATAGACGCAATGTATTAATTTTGCTTGAATAAAAAGAATTTCAGCTCCAAATGAACACATGGGAAGTGCTTATAATTTTGTTTTAATATGGTAAGATTGGTTGAATGGGCACTTCATGTGGGGAAGAAGAAGAGGCCATGATGACCAATCATATCTCCTTCCTAGTGGGCACACATGCATTCTCTCCCTCCTTGCGAATTTGTTTACCTTAATGCATTCCATATAAATAATAATTAATATTAATTTATTGATATAATATATTTAATCAAGAATTGAGAATTCCCATGTATGGGAAACTTTAGTAAAGCTTTAAGCTTTGGCTCGTTGGAAAAGCATTAGCAATGATGGAATCCGAGTTATAATGTCTATCTCAAACCAAACAGAATCTAATTAATGTTAGAAACAGAAAGTGCAGTAAAAGACCATTTTTCAAGCATTTCCTGATAAAAACATCCTTTTTTTAAATCTCTAAACCAACCAAACACAACTCCCATCACATCAGACTTGTGGTCGAATTCATGTCCTTCACAATATTCAATGCCCCCCTGGCTTTTAACCCTAGACTAATCACAAAAAACGTGGCCGAGTTGAGTTATTACGAGTTGTGTTTTAGAGTATGTCTAAATCCAGTCGATGATTCAATGCCGCTGGTTTTAGTTCTGAAATTATGAGTGGGTCTTTAAACTATATACAAAAAAATTTCGTTCATTCTAAATTGATATTTAAATTCGGTTCACTTAATAATTTAAATAATTGAATTTAAACTAAACTTTTCATGAATCAAATTCAAAAACTATACAAGCATAGACACACCATTTTCAACCCCATAATTTAAAACTTCACAAAATTCAACCTTCTCTTTAGAGATAGACTTTCATTATTGATTACTCTTTCATGTTTGTTTCAAATTGTTAGACTATTTCAAGTCTAGGGTGTTTAATGAGTTGAGTAGCTCATGCATGGTTTGAACTCGATTCGATCAACGTTTGACTCGGGTTGACTCGATTCGAACTCGAGTTCAATTCCAGACCTTAACGAGTTGACTTGAAATTTACCTTTATAGCGATTTTCCAATTTCTTATGCAAGTTCTTTGAGTGTTCCAATAAAATTAACTATACAAAACTATTCAATAAATTTCATTCATGTAATAACCAATATGAACGTGTTATATAAAACATGCAAATAGTTGTAATATATTACCTCGATTTATAAGTCACATCGATCGACCATTTAAACTTCATTCGAACGCCCTCAAACTTTAAGTCCATGTCCCATAAAGTCTCGGATACATAGCAAACGAATTTACGCTAGAAATAGAACTTAAACGTGAAACTTTCATAACAAATCGGGAGATAAAACATCGAAAAACAACTTATCGGGGTTGAATTTGGCAAAACGGACTTCGAAATCGAACTCAGGGCATCTTAAAAATAAAATAAGAGTTTTCAAAAAATTTGACTTTTTGGTCAAAGTCAACGGTTCGGTCAACGATCCAGGTCAACAGTTAACAGTTAATGGGTTGACTAGGTTTGACTCAGACGAGTTGACTCGACTGACTCAGGCTAGTTGACTTAGTCATCTAGAAGACTCGACAGAAACAACGCCCACGCGCGACGGTGGCGCGTGGCGGTATGTGCGACGACGATATGGACGAAGAGGGGCGGCTAATTCCTCCCAAAGACACCATTCACCAAAAATAACTCGAATCAATCCAGAAATCAACCAAAATCAATAGAAATTAACGAAAAAATAACAAATTATTACCCTCAACGACGAACGACGAAGGACGCAACAGAAGGGGACGATATCGGTCGGGTTATGGTCGAAACAGAGTGGGAAACCCATTGACGATGGCGATGAGGCCAACCGACGATAGGATCAATGTGAAAATGCGAAAAACAATGAAGGTGGGTTTAGTTTTCTGTCGAGGCTTTGTCAGCAAATTTGTGACGAACGATAGGTTTAGATGGAGAGAGGTTGATTGGGTTTTGCTCGGCGTGGGACGATGAGTTTATTGGTGGCGATGACGCAACCTACAGTCATCTATGGTGGCCGAAATCGAGCATAAACAGAAACGGAGGTTCTTAGGTTTCAACGAAACTTTCCCGAGACTTTTCACGACGATCGATGACGGTTATCAAAAAATTGACAGAGGGCCTACCGGGGACGACGAGATCAGTGAATGGAGGGGCGATGATTGGAGTTGGTAGGAGCTTGTGAGTTTCACGATTTGGGGATTTAATTTTAAATTTTAGGGATTTAAAATCCCAGACCAAAGAAAAAAAAGATATTTTTACCTAAACTCATCAGCTAATAGTAGTTTATGCTACATGATTAAGGATTTGGATGATGGTTTAATATGTCAAGGGTCAAGGGTTCAATCCTAACCATGGTTGTCAAAACCGAACCGGATCGGTCAGTTCAACCAGTTGCCTGTCTGGTCCGGTTAACTTCAAAAACCAGTTTTACAACGAGTCAGTTGAAAACTGGTAGAACCGGTTGAGAACCGGCAAAACTGGTGTGAACCGCTAGTTCTGTTTTTTTCTTTTTTTTAAAAAAAAATTAAACCAAACGACATCGTTTGTTAAACGAGCCGAGTCGAACTCAAGTATTGCTGAGCTCGACTCGAACTCGAAAACTTTAAAAGTAAGCTCAACTCGACTCAAAAACTCGCGAGCTAAAAATTATCAAGCTCAACTCGAACTCGAAATATAATATTGAAACTCGAACTCGAAAAGGCTCGAACTCAAAAAAAATAGAAGCTTGATTGAAGCCTGAAACTCGAGATCGATTGAAGCGAAAGAATAGTTCGCTCTGTGCTCACCAAAAGGCTCCATGATTTTGAATGTCAAATTACCTCTATTATTTATAGAAGTCAGTTGAAATGCTCTTCTACGTTTCTTAGCCATGTGGGATTGTTTTGTTCTCCTATTTTTACTCTTTAGACTTTTGGGATGCTCTTCTATATTTATTAGCCATGTGATATTGTTTTGTTCTCCTATTTTTGCTCTTCTATGCTATTTAGACGTTTTCCTGTAGTGATGTATTTATTAATATTGCTTTGAATATTATGTAAAATTTTTAAAAAAATATTATTTTATATAATCCGGTTCAACCCGATTGAATCTGTGAACCAGTACTTTCACCGGTTTAAAGTCTGATCCGATTTTAAAAACAGTGATCCTAACCACATACACATTTTATTATTATTACTTATTTTCTTTGTAGACAAAGAAGAGTTAAATCTATAGCTAGGTCACTAAACTTCTAGAAGCTTTAAAAACTGACCCAAAGGTTTAAAATTTTACAATTTGGTCCCCAAAATTAATGAAAACTATAAAATTGAAGGTGTTGCAAAAACGGATTGGTTCAAATACTAATATCATAAATCTCAGATAGTAAGTGTCAAATTTGAGTCGTCCTACTTATGAACATTTAACGTCGAAAGACTGACCCACAAAAGTCAAATGGATTGGTTCGGATTGGTTCAAATAATATCACAGGTCTCAAATTGAATCGGTGTACATGCAAAAGTCTAATGTTGAAAGACTCACCCATAAAAGTCTATTCGATACAAATCGATCCAGATTTATCGTGACAAAATCTTAAAAGTTATGGGGATCGCGGAGAATAGGAGAAAGGGGTTAAAGTTGTAAACAAGAGATTCAGTTATAATTCAAAAGTCAAATGTAATACTGTACATTTTTATTAACATGTCACCATATTAATATAATATTTTGTGATTCATGACCGGAAATTTTAGTCATTGAAACTTCAGTGATTAGATGATTGATATGGACTCCTTGAATCTTCAGTGATTATAGATATAATTTATTTATAATTCTAAGACGGCTTAAGAATAAATTTGTCAATTCACCCTGTAAAATTGATAGAATTCACGAGTGAAAGTGAAAAAAACAAGAAAGAAATAAACAAACATCCGACGGAAATAGATAAAACAATCCCACGCAAACATGAATTTAACCTAATGGCTGAAGTTGAACAAATATTATTTTTCCTACCAAAGATAGAAAACCATGAAATTGTATTTGTGGCGATAAAGAAGTTCAACTAAGCAGGCGGCAAACAAGCATTAGGTACACAGTATACGGATTCGGTCTTGATTTTACTATACCTCATAAAGTTGGGAATGATATAAACTGCACCATAAAACAAAATTAGAGAATCATACATATTGAGAGTCATCGACAGCAGGAGGCTGTTCGTCTTCATCGGGGGATTCCTTCTTGGATCCCATCTCCTTCCTTTCTTTCCATCTTGCCCATATCCATTTCACTAAGAAGATACCACCTATCGCATATACCTGACAAAATCACACATGAACTAAAATGGTGCTGGGAATCAAACACAAAGCATTGTATTCAAGCTCAATATATTACAACACCAACGACAGCTATTTGTTTACTATAATTGAAAAAAGAAGCGTCAAATATCAATACGCAAAACTTTAAAATTATGGTACAAGGGAAATATCGCAACCTAAATCCGAGAATCCTTAATCAAGTATACCAGTATTTGCAACATTCCTTAATCCGAAACTCACACCTTAATCCGAGTAACATAGAAAGAAACTAACAACATAGAAAAAAATGTATATATAGAGAATCATCCATGGCACAGGGATTGTGGAGGTAGGTAAAATAATTTTCATTCAATCATCCCAAATTACCAATGAAAATGAACTTGAGGGAAGTGTTACAAATAGTTAGAATCCCTAGGAGTTGGATCCTAGCTCCCAATAGAAAGAAAATAAATGTTGAATATCACATACAGCTTCTTAGGTGTCACATCGTTACAGTTTACACCAAGGAAAATAAAATACCTACACACCCAAATCATCATCGAAACTTCTCATAAGTAGTGCAGTCAAGGGCGTAAGGCACACTCTAGAGGCTAGAACCCTTATAGGATCTAAAGCACAACTGCACAAGGTGTAAGATAAAGCACTCGCCTAAGTGAAGTAAGGTGCATATGTGTATCTATTTTATGTATGTCAGTATTATATATATATATATATATATATAATAATAATAATAAGTTTAAAACATATAATTACAATAATAAAAACTGGACAGCAGTCCATTTTACCATACAAAACCTGCAAAAATGATTTTGTTGGCTAACATGCATGTTTTCCTTATGCTCCCAGACTATACAATGAGTAGAGAAATTGAGATTTTTATTTTACAATATATTGAAAAGAAGAACTAAAAATACTAATGAAGTTAAAAAGAACTTCAATCTAGTTTCTGCATCTACAACAGTAGAAAAAAGCATGCCTACGTGACCAAATTTGTAGTTGATCGAACGTGGTTCACTTCTAATGATTTAAAATGTTTTTGTTTTCTCATACTGAGATACAGCAGTTAAAAGTTCCTAGCTACATGTCTTAACAACACTGTTCACTGGTAGAATAAACCATTTCTTTGGAAGAGAATATAAAAGATAAGTTGGTATCTTAGTAATCTCCCACGAGTATTTACTTTGCCTTATACAACAGCAATTGCATCACGGAAGAACAAACGAGTAAGAAGTTAGAACACTAGAAAACATAAGGTTATAAAAACCTCTAGTTTCTCTCTACTAATTCAAAGAAAACAGTAAGAATGTCAGCATATTGTTGGCTGTAAAGTTTATTTCTTCGTTAGCCCTACTTTTTCCAGAGTTCCAACTTCTTTCTTCTTGTTTTTTTCAGCCCAATTTTATTGACTGCCTGTTGTTTCCCCCTACACAACATTAATGGTTCTATCAAAACAAACCCAGAAGATTTTTTTCTTCAAATAAATCTTGTTCTAACAATTTCAGCCATAGCTTTGAATATTTTGTTCAAACAATTTACTGGGAACTAATAGCAGAATTTTACCAGTGCATCTTGTGCTCTTCACAACACTGAATAAAAGACCAGCACAGATACATGCTCTTTCTACTTCCTACAGAGATTGGCAAATAATCTCTACCACACTCTTCGAAACAACCCTTTCCAGATATAACTAAAATTATAATGAAAAGGAAAATTTTGGCTCAATGGCAATTCATATAAGAATCATACAACAGAGACAAAATAGAACACAATATGCTAATCGACTTCGATTTATTTTAAATAAAAAGGTGGCATTTGAAAAATCAGCCAAAATTTGCTTCTTTTAACTACATATTTAGTTACCTAAAACACCCAGAAACAAGAAAAAGGAAAGTATACCTGCCAGAGAACTATAGGATTAGAAGTTCTCCCAAGGCACTCCTCCGCCTCAAATTCCAACGGCTGAGGAACTTTCCTGCGGTTTCCAAGAAATAAAGATGGTGGTTTCGGGATTTCAATTTCCTCCTCTTTTGTAACCGAAACTTGAGGTTTTTTCAATGGTTGGTTAAAGAGAGGGAATTTCAGGTCCAGTTTGGGAAACATTGAGAAAAAATTTATGGGTCCTAAAGGATTTTCAGCTTTGCGCTGGATTTCTTTGTTATTAGCGTCCGCCATAGCTTACCTTGGACTTGTTTCTGACCCAGGTTTGTATTTATTACTGTATAGGCGGAGAGATCAGAGAGGTCACGTGCCTATCGCGTGCTCTTTTTTAATTTCCAGATTTAGATAGATTTTCATCCTATCAAATTGAAGTGTGGTTTAGGTATTTGATTAAGTGCTAAAAAAATTGAATATTAAATCTTAAATATAAAACCTAAACTATAATTCAAAATTTATTTATCTATTCATTTTTTCTATCCATAAATTATACATCATTACAGTTTGCACTACATTCTCCGCTTCATCTAATAACAAATATATTATTAGTATTTTTTTTTGTTGCCTCCCGTTTTAAGGTTTTACTTTGACTAATTTAGATCGTGGACCGACCTATGTAACACACTTGATTTCGGTGGGTGAGTCTCCGAGCTGGAGTTTTCCGCATACATAAGGACTCAAACCTGAGACATTGCTTAAGGGATATCAAGCAACTTACCACTTGAATCAACCTATTGGTAGATATTATTAGTATTTTATTAAACACAATTTCTTTTTATATAATATCAAAACTTGAGACAGGGCCGGTTCTGGGCAGGGGCAAGAGGGGCATCCGCCCAGGGTTCATAATTTTAATTTATATTAATTTATTATATTTTAATAAACTAAATAAAAAATAAGGCTCATAAATATTAATATACCACTTTCTTATATTAATACAAGAGGGCCCATAAACTTATTTATTAATAATTTATTGTTCTCATCATAACGTTAAAAACTATATTAATATACTAAATTAAAAGCATGGCTCATAAACTTATTTTTTATTGACTTATTAAAAGAATGTTGTAATAATTTTAAGATTATTTTTTTCTCATAATAATTTGTCGGATGTTGATGCAGATGATTTTTTTCTGAAAATAAAGTGTTGCAATTGACTTTGCCAAATGTATTTATATCAGCGCTTGAAGTTCTTGAGTTTGTTAAAGCTAGAGATTGTTATCCTAATGTTTCAATTGCTTATCGAATCTTATTAACAATACTGGTAACGGTAGCATCCGCGGAAAGAAGTTTTTCAAAGATGAAATTATTGAAGAATTACTTGAGGTCAATAATGTCACAAGAAAGATTGAATGGGCTAGCTATATTATATATTGAGAAAAATATGTTGGAAAACATTGATGTTGACACTATCATCAATGATTTTGCATCAAGAAATGCTCGAAGGCAATGTTTTTTTATGAGTATTTATATGCTTAAATATGTTTTTGACATTTTTGATATTGTAATGAATTAATATTTATTTAATTTAATAAAAAATAATTAAAATTTTATATTGCATATTTTTTAATATTCTTTTAAATTAAGGTCTAATTTTTTTAATTGTACACAGGGCCAAGAAAAAGTCAGAACCGGCCCTGACTTGAGATGATACTACACCTTTAACATAATAACACCTACCATCTACCATACCATATGTTAAAAAATAATATCAATCGACCAAAATTTGAAAAAAAGAGAGCATAAAATTTAATTAATCATCTAATATTCCTCCGCTATTGATTTTTTTTTAAGATTTACAAGTTCACATATCAATAAAAACATTGGTGGAGGTAAGTGTGTTCAAGGATAGGTAAATGCTCATAATGAAATTAAAGTTTCTTTATAATAATTGATATTTTACTGATGTGCTCACATTAAAATTTTATTTATGTTCATCCATGCAAGAAATTTTCATTATTAATATACATGATCACCTAAAGAGCATTTCTATATATACTCAATAAAAATAAGGCATGTATACGCTCGTAATTTAAATTCCAACTCACTCCCACTTTAATAAAAAACCGGGGGGGATGCAGAATAAGGTGGAGTCTGACCTGCCAGAGAATAATTTTGTTCGAAGTGGATCCAGAGACGTCGGCCTCAAGCGTCAAAGGCGGTGGAACAGCCGGCCGAGGCTCCGAGAACTTCACAACATCGGCTGCCTTATTATTTTTGCTAATTTTCTCGTTGTCACCACCCGACTGTTTTTCAATGGGTTTCTTTTGGATTACAACTTCAACGCTACGTTTTCTATTGAAGGGAAGTTTCGGTAGCCATAGCAACAAGTTCTTGGGGAATTTTGGGTTCTTGTCTTCGATCTGGATCTCAAGGTTTTTGGCCATTTTTTTGGGGGGTTCGCTTCAAAAACAGAGAACAATGCTTCTGGAGCTGAAACGTCAGCTACATATAGCGGTATAATTTGGAGGTTTACCCAGGGTTTAAAGCTTCTTGAAGATACTAGGCAGGCGGCTAGAGAATTTTGAATTGCTCTTATTTAAGAAAGTGGGATGATTCTGTTTGAACCCAACAACTATGAGGGTGTTAACCTCTAAGCCCAATAAAATTCATCACCCAATCAATCCATTTATGTCTCCATCATACACCTTCATGTCCATCAATTAGTTGGTCTTTGTTTGCAGCCTTGTTTTAATTCTTGGATTCATGCATATTTTGTCTTTTGGAATTTGTTTTAGGTATCTAATTGGTATATAAGTTTAAAAATAAATCACATATTTAATATATTAATATCAAATTTTATCCATGTATCATCTCTAATCAATGAGTTAATTCTCAAACCTGACCTTAAATATCTTGTTGGTAGACCTATTTGATATTTGACTCTCTTCTAACCTACTTGTTACTTAGGGGCTGTTTGATAAAATAAAATGATTAAGCGTTGAATGATTCGATGGCCTGAATGATTCGATGGCTTTGTATGAATTGGCTCTGAATGTGACATGATGTTTGACAATGGTTCTGAATGTACAATCTAAATTATGAATATTTTCATTTTTACCTTCATAATGATTTATTATATTATAAGATATGATTGTTTAATAAGACGACATGTGAAAAAATAAGTATTATGGTAAAATATCGGGTGCTTAATGATTCAGAATGTACTTTAATGCTGAATCATTCAGCAGTGTTTTGTTGTTTAATTCAGCATAATCTTCATTCAAATGTAAGAATCAAACACGCTAAATGTTGAACGGTTCAGCATTCAGCAGTAAACAAACAACCCCTTATTTGACTTATGATTTTAAAATGCTTTTAAAAATGCCTTTAAAATGTACAGAAATAAAAAATTATAATTATAATGAAAATATATTTTATAATAACTCACTATTAATATTTTAATATATAAATTATGAATTTATTTAGTTTTAAGTAATTAAAATAAATTTTTCCGTAATAAATTATTTTTTTAAGGATGTTAATATTAAATTTTAAAATAAAATGTAAATACATAATTAAGTGGAGCCTATGCATTAGTAAGAATAAAATTATAATTTTCTTTCAAACGTAAGTTGAAAATGAAAAAGCTAGAAATCCTATGTTTTCGATTAGTTTGAAACCACCGTTTTCACCGCAATTTTTTTTTCATCTTTCACCCGTTTGACATTAATTTTGTGGTCAAAATGGATTTCCTTTAACTAAAAGTGTTTTTAGAAAGTCACACCAAACGAGTATAAATTAAATTATAATAATAAAATAATTAATTAAAAATAATATTTATATATTAATAATTATAATCCTAAATAATATATTAAAAATATTTAATTTTATTTGTAAAAGAAATGGTTATAACACATCCACATTTGAATAATGGGGTTATCGAATGGAATAATGGGGGCAGGAGATTCCAGTTTAGTGAAAGAAGATGATGGATTCTTTGTTGTTAAAGCAAATTGCATATCATCGATTATAAAATTAGCCTTGGACTGTTCAGCTGAATTGCCAGAAGATAGGACAGATATGGTTATCTCCATGCTCAGGAATATCAAAAGAAAATTATTCAACGACGTTACACAAGATTAATACGGTGAGGAATGCAATTATTTCTCTGCATATTATTAGCTGTTTCGTTAGCTAGTTCTCTGCAACCGTCTTACCAGTTGAACTTATGTACCCTGTTTAAGAACAATCTCAATCGACATAAGACGCGCCTTTTTTACGACCATATTTCAGATTGTAATTTCATTTCGGACAGCTTGAAACATGCAAGAAAACCTTCATTACGTACCAAATTCCACAAGATAGTGGATGAAAGATTAATAGGAACAGAAAGACGCGCCTGCACCAGAATACTGCTGAATAGAAACACTCTTGAGCCGCTTTCATGACGTAAACGGTTGCTTCGAGATGGCGATTGTATTTAATGGGTTCTCAACTTACTCGATAATGTCGGAATGTCTGATGAATGAGCTTCTTCACCATGAATAAATCACTTCACTGGTTTTGTAGGCTCTCAATTGCTTTTTTCCACTGCCATGCTCTTTGTTTTGCATCTTCGAATGACAAGACCTTTTTCGACTGAAACAAACATAGAAGAACGAATCGAAATCATGAACAGATTAATATGTAAGTTTGCAGTTTTCATCGTCAACGGCGAATAACAAGCAAAAGGGACACAAAGGACTACGGAGAATGTTGAATTAGAGGAATTCATTTCTATCCTACTGGAACACTTGCAGAGACTTACCGTGCAAATCTTGAACTGTGACGGACTTGTGACCTGGACACTAAGGTCACTAGAGTTGTCGGACCAAATAATATTCCCTTTTACGACCATTTTTGTGGGATTTACATAAATCAATTTCGGCTTGTTGGTGAGGATAAGCTGCACCTTCTTGCTTGATAACTTCTGTAGTTTCTTCACCATTGAGATCATAAGAACAGATTCTCCCGCTTCCAGAAATTGCTGCATGTTAACACAGTGTACGTAAACAATAATAGTGAGTTTACAATCGGAAAAATCATTATGTAAGACTACTATCTTAGAAAAATCTGGATAAAACTGGATCGATCGATATCCACAATTGGACAAGCTTGCAAGCTAAAGTCATGTCCTTACAACAAAATCTAAGAACAAATGCTGAGAAAATAGCTAGACAACAAAAAATACCATTTTGAGTCAAAGGAGTCGATGGAGGCCATTCTATTTATATGGCCAGGTGATTCAGTCGATGATGATCCATCATTTTGTCTACCTGAACCATATTGGATGGGGGTCGGATTCTGTGAAGAATCACTATGATAATGATAATATTTTAAAACTCTCAAAAGACAGAATACAGATATTGAAGCCTGTACGCTGTCATACCCCGCTCTGTAATGCAAGCTTTGGAGGGGTTCCTGCTCTTACATTGCTCCAGTCAACTCCCCTAAAGAAAGGATGCCTCTTGAGTGCGGCATAACCTTCGGGTCCAACACCTGCTCGTCTACTGGGATCGGTATCCTGCATCAGATTCGCATTACACAATTATACGACTACAAATTTTTTTCTTGTAAATCAAGATCAATCACGACAGAGAAGAATTTATCATTACAAGGCTTTTATTTGTTATTTTCCCGTGAAAAGGAACGGAACAAATCTGATATTCATCTGATAACATAAATAGATAACTGGACAAATGATGCAGGGGATCCGAGACAGATGATGCTGAGCTGTCAGATTGCACCTTGATCAGCACAAAGACGGGAATTGATTGTGACATATTCCTCATTTGGGTCGTTTTGAGTATGTTTCAGTCTTTTGGCCATAACTTTGGCTACATGTGTCAGAATCGCGCATAAGACCCCAATCCGGAAAGCTCTTTTCGACGCGCACACTCTCCACATTGAGCTAAGCTCCATGTGGCCTTTTTTTCAACCTCAAATTATGTCGTTTTCTCCTCCGAATCACTATATTTAGATATTTTTTATTATTTATGGTAATATTTCAATTGTCAATTAGGAAGTCAATTTAAATCTGATTTAGGCCGGATTTTTTGGAGATTGCTTATTTTATTTCGAATTTCAATTTAGAGTGATTTTCGGGATTTTGCTATTTTTGACAAAATTCGAATAAAGACGATTTTTTTGCTATAACAGTCCGGCTTTTTTCTCTTGTTTTTTTGGACGAATTTTCTCTTGTGAATCATCTGTTGGAGCGCCTGCAGGATAATCATTATTCTGTCCGGCGTCAACAAAGATCTTCAAAGTCTTAACTACAAGATTATGAATGCATAGCAGAAACCAAATCCCCACATGCATAAAAATTGCAGCTTACCATTAAGTGATCGATAAGGTCTTTGGCTTCTTCGGAAAAGTAGTTTGGAAATCTTATATCTCTGGCTATAATTCTTTGAAATATAAGCCATTCGCTTGTATCTTTAAAAGGAGAAGTCCCTGAAAGCATTTGGTACAAGGTGCAGCCAAGTGCCCAGATGTCATTTCTGTTTGAATATGTTAGACAGAACAAACTAGTTATCCTATAAACAACAATTTAACAAGATAATAATTAAAACTGTTACTAAAATGGGTTAAGAATCGGTTTTGTTTGATGGTTTTAATCTATATTGCAAGACTAACCCGAAAGTTGCTGGAGAAGAGTTAAGGACTTCAGCAGGAACATATGCAGCCGTCAATACTGAAATTTTCCTGAGGAGCTCTAAACGACAAGCTTTTTGATTTCACAATATTGTTGGAAGCTTCACCATTAGAAGAAGAACAATTAGCATTTTTCTCATCATCGTCATTATTATTATTGGCTCCCTGATTCCCCAGCTTTGGATCAAAATCCTTCTCCTTTGTCAACATTTCTCTCTCCGAGATTCTCCCACTTTTCCTTTAGCATTATACTAATAATAAAAAGTAATTTAAGGGAAAAAACGACAATAAAAATACAAAAATAAATTATGGGGTGTCAAAGGAACAGATTTTTTGCTATTTTTGGTCCCAGTCAAAGAGGAATAAAAAAAATAAATTATTTTGTTGGATTAGATTAGAGGGGACGCCTACAATCAGATCTTTTACAGTGGGATCCATGGGATTCAAATTAAACGTGACCGTCGGATCAACAAAGCGCAAAACGAGGATATTGGCACCGTTGATAAGGTCACGTGGAGGACTTTGTAACTAACTGTTAAATCTACATAGTGTATATATATTATCAATAAATTAAAAAAATTAAAAATATATATTATTTTAATAAAAATAATCTAAAATTACTTTCAATTTTTTACAATGCACATATTTTACAAATGTAACTATCCAAATCTAAAACAATATACTCTATTTTATCACTAAATCACTTAATTAATCAATTATTTTGTACTCAAATATAAAAAGTAAACCACAAATCATCAGTGTTGTTTCCACTTGTGCAAGTGAGTTCCATTTACTATATAGCTTTTATATTAGTGTCGGGGATGGATTGGAGAGACAAAGTACATTTATTTTCTAAAAATTTAAAATTATTATATATTTTAAAAAAAATTATATCTTTTTTATTAAAAATCTATTTTTATCTTTTTAAAACTTTATAAATTAAAGTTTATTCTACTATATTTAAATTCACCTCTAATATAAAATCATTTATTCATCCGTAATTAGTGTGCCATTACTTTTTGATTGGGACATAAATTGTACATGGACCCAAACAAAGGGAGCTGAAAGACATATCACATAAAGAAATAAAATAACATAGACATAGACAAGACATGGAAGTCATAATCTTTGATTTTGTCGGAAAGGATACATTTCCTGTTTGATCAATCAATACTGTATGTTCCATCAATATTCGTCTAGGCCCCAGGACCTGCATGCACATGCACATGCACGTCCGAATTGAAATAAGTTTAAGCCTTTAAGGTTACATATTTCATTGATTTAGAGTTCAAATTGAATTATAGAGATTCTTTTGTTTTTTTAAGATATAAATGACATAAAAATAGTAATTACTATAAAAATATGTCAACTTAGAATTAAATTAAGGATTAATAATAAAATAAGTGTTTAAATTATACTTTTTAAATAGTTGCATAAATTATTTTTTGACTCATCCATGTGTCTAACGTTATAAACGTTACTTATTTAGATGTTCTGGTCATCAACGACGTTAATTTTTTCCGTTAAATGACACATGTCACGATCTGGTATTTTGAAATTTATTTTTTTTAAATATTTAAAATATTACAATATTTATAAAAAAACTAACTTTTCTTATATTATAAAACAGCCCCAAAATCCCAAATCATAATCTTAATCTGTCGTCGTTGCCCTTTCTGGCCACGACCACTGTCACCGACGTAGTTCCTGTCATCCTCCTACTCATACGCCATCATATTTCCGTCGATTGGTTGTCGAAATCGTGTGGGATCACAATTTTCATCATAGGGTTCTCGGGTATAAAACTTGATACGTCATCGATCGATCAATTTTTCATGGGGGTTTTGATCGCCATAGGAGGGGAGGTCAGGTGGAGGTCAGTGGCGGATCTAAAAATTTAAGAATGAGTTAATTTTCTTTTCTTAAAAATAATGGGTATGCAAAAATTGTAATTTTTTCTTTTTTTTCCTTAACACATTAAGCTAAATTTAACTACTTTTCCAAAATAATGGGGATGCACTTGGCCCCTATGGAGGCTTAGTGCATCCGCCACTGGTGGAGGTTCGTCGATGGCAAAAGGCAAAGGTCGGTTTGGAGTTAAGGGTTGAAACGAAGGTTTTCAAAGTTTTTGGTTCATTTCAAAATTTGTGTTTTATTTTTTAAAAATATATATAATTTTAAATAAAATTCGAAGAATGATTTCTAATAATATTCAACAATAAATCCAACCCTAGGTGGTCAGTGTTAACTAAATATTAAAAGACATTTTCCGGCAAAATCTAATGACACATTTGTGGTTGGACCTATTCAATACGGTCACAAAATGCCCCTTTGGTATGTCCTTGCCATCTCCATTTTGTTAAGGGACAATGTGTAGACCTGAATCGTATTCATTTATTGTTAAAACATTTAATTTTTATTTTTAAAAAAGAAACTAATGCCTTGATAATTCGTATGCCCATGCCATCTCTATTTTTGTTTTTCATTATTTTCTCAATCAATGACTAAATCCTTGAACACATTCATTTACCAGATATTATTGTTTCTAATTAAGAAGAGTAAAGGGGATTAGCAATCATGTATTCAGCATTCTAAAACCTTTTCTATGTAACAAGAAAACATGAACATATCAATGTGCAACCTAATATCGACAACTCGCATTGAGAGGAGACGCGAATTTTAGCCGTCAGGTAACAGAACCGATGAACAAGTTGGAACCCCAATGATCCTTCCGGGACCCGAATTCCCACCGCCGACCACTCATACTACCGTACATATCAGTAAACTTCCTAAGGCATTCGCTTCTTATTTTGTAATGTGTATTTGTGTCTCTGCTGATTGCTGCACTGGAAAGTTTTGATGTATCTATTGCCCAAGCAGGTCTCACGTATTCAACAGTTTTAGACGAGCTTGCATTCGCATACAAGAAGTTCATTAGCACGTCCTCGCAGTTAAATTTCATGTCGACCACTTCTCTCCCTGCCTTGGCTTGCTTGCTCCAATACCGTTCGAAGGCTACTTGAGTATCGATGAAAGCAGCCCCTGTAAGAATCATATTATACCCTTTATTTTTTCTGGCGTATTTCTCACCTCTATATTTCAATTGGCTCCCGTCTACAAACCGAGGGTAGAATCCTACAATCCTATCAGGATGTTGGCGCCACAACATAAATCCACGCTCTATATCATCACAGGGCATCATTATATCATCATCAAGCTCAAGCACCGCACGAGTCTTGATTAATGGATCAATCTTGAATCGGTTATTGAGGGAGTTCTGATCCTCGACTCTGATCCGAACAGGCACTGCTGAGTCAAGATCACTCAACTTAGGGGGTATCCCTTTGTTCCAGACGACAACAATTTCTTTTACCGAAGCACACCTCGAATAATGCTTCACAAACATTTTCAAATTCCAGAGACGAGAATCGTAAGTCATTGTTAACAATGTAAACTGCGAAAACTGACCCTTCCATGAGTATGGTTCTTCAGCACCATTGCCTCCGTAAATAAGCGTAACACCTATGCAAGAAAGCACAACTCCTAAAACAAACACCAGAGCCAAAACTAATTTTCCAGTACAGGTGTTTGGTTTTATCCAGCTTCGCAGATACGAAGGTGTTCGATTTAAGCGGCTGAAAACCCACCTCACTTTCGAAGAAAAATCATTTGCTCTCTCCCAAGCAATAAGAGTATCGCTTCTCTTTCCTGAGTAATCTGAACACCAGTTAAGGGGGGCAATGCAGTTCACTGCTCCGATTAGGACACCTAATAACAGAATGAGGCCTGTAACTGCTGCAACTGAAGCACAGCCAAGAAAAAGACGATGGACCAAGTCTCCTGAAGGTACTCGGTCCCCATCCATAACCCCAACCCATTCACCAGACCTTAGCTGCTGCACATCAAGATGATGGTACCGGGCACCATTCCAGGCATTCCGACCCTTGCTGGACTCCTCAAAGGGAAATGAAACTTCAACTTCCTTGTAATCAACCCTAGAAAGAACTTCAACCTTGAATATCCGCACACGTCGTCCATATGTTTCGCCGCAGTCCTGACCAATCCGATAAAGATTTCCATTATACCTAAATGGTCGTCCCCCATTACGAGCCCCAAAACTACTGTAAGTATTATAAATAGGGTTCTTCTTGTGTGGTTCCCAGGGACCAAGGGGTGAACTGCTATACCAAATATCCAACTGTCCGTTTGCTGCTCCGAAATAGCGGTGTTCTGATCCGAAAAGCCAGTACTCTCCATCATGATCGATAATAAATGAATCAACAAGAGGCTTCTTCATGATAATCCTATCCAGTTCCCACTCTAAGGGAAAATTGGTTACTCGATACAGGCGAACTTCTCCCTTCTCACTGCTTTCGGGCATCATGTATACCTGTAGCCATGAACAAAACGACAAAACACTTTTGTCAATAAACAAGATAACCTATTGAGTAGGTTACATAACCATCATGAATACGATGGTACTTGATCGCTAAAGAAACAGTAACATTTTAACTGGTCAATCCTAGAAACTGGAAAGATTGGTGTTCAAAATTCCTATGTTATTCGAACTTGAGGGTGAGTTTCGGATGTGTGGATGTATACGACATGGGCATATTCAAAAAAAAATTATTTAAAAATGGTGGATCATACCCTGGTACCCATATTAGAATACGTGTCAGGTACCGATTTGTGTCAACTAATTCAGCACACTAGTGATTTCACCAACCTATACATTCATGTTCGACACTACTTTGGCCATGTCATATTAGATTGGACCAGTTATGTGCCATCTTGTTTTCCGAGATTATGAAATCAGAAGGTGCTTAAAAGTTGTTGATACTAAGCAACAATTGCATGAATATCGAACCTAATATAGATGGTAAAAGAAAAACTAACGGAACAAATCGATAGTCTTACTTGGCCAAGATAGCTAAAGACATATGGGAATGAGAGGTGCCATTCCTCATCCAAGGCTATGCCCAGTTGTTGCCATGTTGCTCCCTTGTCTATACTTTTTGCCACCCCAATGTCCCCCTGCATGGTGTATGAGTTCTTTGTTTCATAAAATAGATAAAAGGTATCTCCCTGGATCAAGCGAACATGAGGACAAATTTCAGAAATAAACAAAAACTAACATATAAGATAAACTTTTTATGACAATGCTTTAAAGGACACGATTTGCACCATATCTAGGTACCTTCTGCCATTCTTCAGTACATAAGCGATACGCTTAGTTCATTTTACACTAAATGTAACAATAGTTAATGGAAGATGAATTCCTTATTCCATCTAAGTCCAGGAATCCCAAGAATCATACGAGAGATGATTTGAGGCCAATCAATTATTCCTTTACTATTACTGACAACTCATAGCAACAAGATGTAAGAAGAGAGGGGGAACAAGCACTTTCATAGAATTTAAGGTTTTTCCGATGACTAACAGACTTCTAGGTCAAGGAATTTGTCATATGAATCGCACAAACTAACTGTGCCACAAGTCAAGGAGAGAATCACTAACTCTTATGCAAAATCCTCTACCCCTATTCTTGATTTAGGCCTCATACTCTCATTCGCATTATCTCCGAGATAAAATAGTTAAAGATGCTCGAGAATCAAGCTCAAGTCTTCCAAGGATAATCTCCATTCTGATTTTCTAGTTCAAGCAAAACAAGAACAGAGCCGATAAAATGGGACCTATATTTCGACTCTGCGTTGTTTCCTTGAGCAGCTTCACTACCCACTCTATAGTGCCTAATCATGTTAACTTGGACTCAAGTGCAAGATTCAGACACGAGTTTGTGCCTGACGCCGGAGTGCCTAACCCAAATCCTATAGAAAGCAGCAATTATTAACTAAAACGGCAGCAGAAAGAAACCCTACAATTCCTCCCTCTCGGCAGATTTTTCTACTGCATCAGCATATCTGGCCAAAACAAAATCTATATATTCAAAAATCTATATATGTCCCTGCACACTTCATTGTGAATAGAGACCTAAAACAATGAGCTAATAAGGATCGGTATCTATAATTCAGCTCTGCACCCCATGTCTTACATAGTTCATCCTACTTCAACAACATAAAGTTGGAGAAAATAAATCGAGAAATAAATAATCTATAAACAGTAAACCAATTTCCTACATGGTCCAGTCCATTGGCTAAATTCGACCCCAAGTAACATGTATGACACCATCAACACTAATCTCAAACAAAAGATATATTTGGTGGAAGACCTGAAGATATAAACAAGAAATTCTTCTGCTAATTGAAATAAACAAATAACAGAAAAGTCAACACAGTGAAGTTGGATGTATGGAATATATAACTCTCAACTTACTACTGTTTATTGGGCCCCAAAAAATCTCCTACATTGGCTTAAAGAGACAGAATCAAGTAGCAGAAACATATGAATAAAGAAAGGAGTGGCAATAAAATAATAAAAATATTTAAAAAGATAATAAACAATAGTTACCTGAACATAAAGAAAAGGATCAGCAACAAAATTACTAGCGAAACCAGAATCAGAAGCTGAAGCACAGGTTATAACTGGGTTAGCCACTGGCCATGCTGCACTCTCATTTATCCATATCTCAGCCTAAATTTTTTTTCCAATTATTAAACCATTAAAAAACACAAAAATTCTAAAGAAAACAGCATAAATATCCAATATTTAACTCTACATCCATAAGAGAACCCCTCAAAGTATCACAAAAACCAAGTAAAACCCAGAAATAAGAAATTTTGCAGGTATTGGTAGCCAAAAAAAACTATTGAAATGAAAACCATTTTTTTAAATGACAGTTTTACATAATTACAGCATACAATGATGAAAAGAAACAAATACAAAACAAAAAAAATCAATCTTTAACTGCATAAGCATAAGAGAAAATCAAAAAACTTTCCAAAGGTCACACAAAACCCAGAAATAAGAAAATTTGCATATACTTGAATGAAAAAAAAAACCCATTATTTTTAAAATGACATCTAGATACAGTGATGAAAAGTAACCAATACACAGCAACCAAAATTAGTTTTTTTTTTTACATTCCAGTAGAATATAAACGAAACCAGTGCAAAAGTTCAATCTTCAACTAGCTTGAGAGAGAAAAACCCACCAAAAATCACAAAAAACCCAAATATTTAAAAGAAATCAGGATGAAATTATCTCATCTGTAATTGTACATTCATACGAGAAAACCCCACGTAATGATTTTCTTCCTCTCTTTTTGAGGAACCCAAATTTATTCACAAACAAAACTAAACTAAACCCAGAAACATTCCTGTATTCATAGCCGAAAGGGAAAATAAAAATCTACTCAAATGAGAAAAAAAAAACTTTTTTTACATGATAACTACATGCAATGATGGAAAATAACAAACATCCCCTCCCCAAAAAAGAAGAAGACAACTCACAGTTTCAATGGGTTTGAGAGAGAAAGGGGATTGACCGATGAAAACACCAATAGCCCAAGACCCTTCATTATCTTCTTGACAACCAAGCCAAGGCAAACCCTTTCGTTGGTTTAAACTAGACGGCGGCGTTAAAATCAGCCACCCATATAAAACAGCGATCAACCCATGTATTACAAAACAAAACAAACAAAAGACGAACCCCGCCGCACCACCTTCCTGTTGGAAATAAAACACTCACACAAACAACTTTTATTGAAACTCAAACAAATATTACAAGAGTACTCTCACTCAAAAACAAGAACTACAACTCACTCTTATAAGACTTTGCTTCTTCACTCACTTAGAAGCTCTTAATTTTTCTTGATGCTTAAAACTAAAATGGGAAGGGGTATTTATACTACTCAAGAACAATCCTACACAACACAAATAAACTAATTTAAACCATTACAAATTCAACAAATATCTAACTCTCACCTAACTAAATTGATGTAAGCAATGACATCATTAATTAAATGATGTAAGCAATGACATCTTTAATTAAATGATGTAAGTAATGACATCAATTTAGTTTGGGTTTGGGTTTAGGCTCCCATAATGGATCAAGTTTATGATCCAACACCCTCCCTTAAACTTGATCTCGTGACCCCTAGTAGGTTCCTTAATCTTAAGAAGTCTTCGCTGGTCAGTGGCTTGGTAAAAATATCAGCAACTTGATCTTGTGACTTCACATATTCAACTTCCACATCTTTTCTTGCAACACATCCCTTATATAGTGGTAGCGAATATCAATGTGCTTGCTTCGATCATGGAATACTGGATTCTTTGCTAAGGCAATGGCTGACTTGTTGTCGACACAAACCTTGGTAGGCTCTTCTTGTATCAAACCAATCTCCTTCAATAGATTTCTAAGCCAAATTGCATGACAAACACATGAGGTAGCAGCAACATATTCCGCTTCACAAGTGGATAATGTGACAATCGGTTGTTTCTTTGACATCCATGTGAATGCAATATCTCCCATGAAAAATACGAATCCAGTAGTGCTCCTTCGATTATCTATGTCTCCACCCCAATCACTGTCGCTATATCCAACAAGCTTGTAATCATTAGAAACTGAATAGAACAAGCCAAAGTCAATTGTACCTTTCAGATAGCGAAGAATTCTCTTTGCGGCTTTAAAATGGGTGGTTGTTGGGGATTCCATGTAGCGACTAACCAATCCAACTGCGTGAAGAATATCGGGTCTCGTGCAAGTTAGATAGCGTAGACTTCCTACCAAACTTTGAAGAATGTTGGATCTACACTTTCGCCTTCTTCATGTTTGGTCATCTTGATCCCGTATTCTGCCGGTGTGCTTATTGGCTTACAGTTCTCCATCTTGAACTTCTTCAGTATCTCCTTTGCATAGCTTTCCTGTGAAATGAAAATTCCATCATTTGTTGCTTAACTTCAATGCCAAGGTAGTACGCCATGAGCCCCATGTCTGTCATCTCGAATTCTTTCATCATCACATCCTTGAATTCATTAAACATGCTTGGGTTGCTTCCAGTGAAGATCAAATCGTCCACGTAGAGGCACACGATCAAAATATCTTCATCTTTGATCTTGATATATAGAGCATGCTCGTAGGGACATTTGTTGAAGCCATTCTCTTGGAAGTACTTGTCGATTCGGCTATTCCATGCCCTTGGTGCTTGTTTTAGCCCGTAAAGAGCCTTCTTCAACTTCAACACCTTGTCTTCATGCCCTTTGACTTCATAGCCTGATGGTTGCTGAATGTAAAGTTCCTCTTCAAGAACTCCATTTAGGAAGGCGGACTTTACATCCATCTGTTGTATCTTCCACTTGTTTTGAGCTGCCAAAGAAATGATTAGTCTGATAGTCTCCAATCGAGCAACAGGAGCAAATACCTCATCATAGTCAATTCCAGCCTTTTGACTATAGCCTTTAGCAACTAGCCTCGCCTTGTGCCTTTCAATCTCTCCTTTGGCGTTTTGCTTTGTTTTGTACACCCATTTGACACCTATCGCCTTATGTCCCTTGGGAAGTGAGGTAAGTTCCCATGTGTCATTCTTCTCGATGGCCTTGATTTCTTCATCCATCGCATCTCTCCATTCTTTCTTGTACCGCTTCTTGAAAGCTCACTGGTTCACAATCGGCAAACAGACAAAATAATGTAAGATTATCTTGTCGTTCAGTTACCTCATAGAGATCTCTAAGGCTTCTTGTGCGTTGCACAACTCTTTCACTTTGACTCCCACTTGACGATGATGAAGGTGATGAGTCTCCTTGAGTGGTTGATGTTGGTGAAGTGGGTGGAGTTGCAAGCTCTTGTTGAGATTCATCTAGTTGCTCCCTCATTGTCTGCTCATCTTCTTCAAACTGAGGAAAGAAATTGAAGTCATCTTTATGAGAATTAAAATCCCATTCTCCTTCTTCGTTGAAGACCACATCTCGACTAATCACAAACTTCTTATTGTTTGGATTGTACAACTTGTAGCCCTTCGAATTAGCATCATAGCCGATGAAGATAAAACTCTCGCTTTTATCATCAAGCTTCGTTCTTCTCTCGTCTGGTACGTGAACATGGGCTATACTTCCAAAGGTTCTCAAGTGGGAAATGCCAGGCTTTCTTCCACTCCATGCCTCTTGCGGTGTCTTTCCCCATACACTTCTTGTTGGAGATCGATTTGACAAGTAGACTGCACACGATACTGCTTCCGCCCAAAATTCTTTGGGTAGTTTCTTGCTTTTGAGCATGCTTCGTGCCATGTCGAGGATTGTTCTATTCTTTCTTTCTGCCACACCATTTTGCTGGGGGGATCTAGGGACTGTCATTGGTCGACGAATTCCATTTGCTTCACAGAACTCTTGAAACTCCCTGGAAGTAAATTCTCCACCTCGATCGGATCTCATGGCTTTGATCTTTCTACCGCTTTCTCTCTCCACTGCTGCTTTGAACTTCTTGAAGACTTCAAAAACTTCTGACTTCTGTTTCAAGAAATATACCCAGGTTTTTCTTGAAAAATCATCAATGAAGAGAAGAAAATAGTTATTGTTACCGAGAGAGCTTGGCTTGATCGGTCCACACACATCGGTATGGATGAGCTCAAGTGGCTTCTTAGCTCTTGTCTCTGACTCCTTTGGAAAGCTTTTCCTGAATTGTTTCCCGACTAGACACCCTTCACAGAGTTGGTCAGGATGGTTGATGTGAGGTAGTCCTTTCACCATCTCCTTCTTAGATAATAGCTCTAGACCTCCAAAATTGAGATGCCCAAATCGAAGATGCCAAAGCCATGATGCATCTTTGTAGCAAGCTTTCAGGCACTTTGCAACATCATTTTGTATGTTGATCAAGAACATTCTATTCTTTGACATCGGCACTTTAGCAATGAAGTTATTCTTATCATCTTTTATAGAAAGATTATAATTATTCATATGAATATCATAACCTTTCTCTACCAGTTGCCCTAAACTTAAAATGTTACTTTTCATATTGGGCACATAGTAGACATTTGAAATAAATTGATGTCTCCCATCTTTCAAACGGATAAGAATGTTACCTCTCCCTTTCACTGCTATTGTGGAATCATCTCCAAACGAAACATTTCCACTTACTGACTCGTCTAGCTCCACAAACATGTCTTTCCTTCCACACATGTGATTGCTTGCACCACTGTCAAGATACCAGGAATTTGCTTGGACACCATCAGTTTCCTTTCATGCTAGAAGAAGAGTTTCTTTGCCATCTGTCTTTTCCTCCACGTAATTGGCCTTCTCCTCAATTTTGTTGTTGGGAGCTCTACATTCTGAAGCATAATGCCCAAATTTTGACAATTATAACATCGAATTTGAGATTTGTCATACTTTGAGTTGGATTAATTCTTCCACGGCCTCGTGTTGAGCTTTCTCCTTTCTCATAGTTGTTGTTGGAATTGTTATTGTTGTAATTCCAGCCTCGTCCACGACCTCGACTTCCACCTCGTCCATGGCCTCTACCTCTACCTTGGCCACGTTGGTTTCTATCATTGCGTTGGCTCTCATGCATATCCTTGAGTTGCAGCTTGAGGAGTTGCTCAGTAAACTCATGCTTCTTTTTATGCTTCTCTTCGTATGCTTGCAATGATCCTTGGAGCTGTTCGATCTTCATTTCTTCCAAGTCTTTAGTTTCTTCAATCGTCACGACGATGTGCTCAAATTTGGGATCCAACGAACGGAGTATCTTCTCTATTATCCTCACATCGTCTAACTTTTCACCATTTCTTTTAATTGATTAGAAACAGCTACTACTCTTGAGAAATAATCTGAAATAGACTCAGATGCTTTCATGTTTAAGGATTCGAATTCACCTCTTAATGTTTGGAGACGAACCTTCTTCACTTGCTCAGATCCTTTGTAAGAGGTTTGCAGCTTCTCCCACGCTTCCTTGCTAGAGCTTGCACTTGAAATCTTTTCAAAACCATCATCATCTAATGCTTGATAGATGAGGTAGAGAGCCTTCTTGTCTCTCTTTCTTGAATCCTTCAAAGTTGTCTTTTGATCTGGTGTAAGAGTAGCAAAAACATCATCATCCGCAGGCTCATTATAGCCTTTCTCTATGATATCCCACACATCTTGTGATCCAAGAAGTGCCTTCATTTTGATACTCCAATTGTCGTAGTTGTTGTTGTTGAGTGTCGGAACTTGGAATGGTGCCATACCATTTGCCATATCTCTCATATAATGAGATTTTGTAAAATCCGATTGCACGGATGAATCCGAAACGATGAAAAAAAAAACTTTGGAGGGACTTGGACAACTCGGTCAAGGGCTCCAACTCGGCTGAATCGGCTCAACTCGGTGAGTCAACTCGATTTTCTGGCAGCAGTCTTCCGGCGGTGCGTGGCGGTGCGTCAGAACTCAGATTGAGAAAATTCTGGCGGCGTCGTATTCCTCTCGTCGAGACCTTCGATCTTTCCAACTCGCTCTGATGCCACTTTGTTGGAAATAAAACACTCACACAAACAACTTTTATTGAAACTCAAACAAATATTACAAGAGTACTCTCACTCAAAAACAAGAACTACAACTCACTCTTATAAGACTTTGCTTCTTCACTCACTTAGAAGCTCTTAATTTTTCTTGATGCTTAAAACTAAAATGGGAAGGGGTATTTATACTACTCAAGAACAATCCTACACCACACAAATAAACTAATTTAAACCATTACAAATTCAACAAATATCTAACTCTCACCTAACTAAATTGATGTAAGCAATGACATCATTAATTAAATGATGTAAGCAATGACATCTTTAATTAAATGATGTAAGTAATGACATCAATTTAGTTTGGGTTTGGGTTTAGGCTCCCATAATGGATCAAGTTTATGATCCAACACTTCCCACTGTTACCATTCCCACTACCATTGCTACTATGATTGTGGTGGTGGTGGTGATGGTGGTGGAGGACGTGATTATTGTGATTACGGTTATGCTGCCACCACTTCATGCAGCAGCTTCCTCCACTACCGCCGTTCTCACCGCCTCCAGCAACCACCATATAAACCACCGTTGTTTTTATTTGTATTTTTTTCTCTAAGGAAAAATCATCACCATTTTGCTCTCCCTTTCTTTTTTTCTTTTTATAGGTTTTATTTCTTAATATTATAAGTATAATTATTAAGGGCAGAGCCAAAAAAAACGATACACTAAAAAATTATAGTAACATAAAAATTTAAAAAATATTTTATTATCATTAAATAATAATAATAATAATAATTAAATTGGAAAACTTTGCTTATTTGTTCAATAAATTGCTTTTTTAAATTTTTATGGGAAACTTGATTTGATACGTTTATGGGGGGTGGCATTGAGTTAGCGTGATGTTCACTTGCTCTACATGAATGCCACGTGTAAATTCAGTTGATATATTTGACACGTTGATTAAAGCGATTACGTGGTAAAGAAGTGGAATTTACATAGATTTATTAACGTGATGGTACAATGAAAATCAACTTTAAAATTTCGAAAAATAAATAAATTTGATTTATTGAAATTTAATTACTTAAAATATTTAAAAAAATAAAAATATATTAACTAAATTTTCAATTCTAAAAATTAAAAAATTAAAATTATATCAATTAGCACAAATATTTAATTGAAAATGTAAAATATATTAGGAATTAGAATATAATTTGAATACGATACTAACAACAAAAAGGACTCCAATGGCATATACGGGCCTAGGCCACAAAAAATGGTAAATTTGTGTTTTACTCCTTTTATATTTTTATAAATTCCATGTATTTGAAACCTAAAATGATAGATTTGTGGTTTAATCCCTTTAGAAATTATAAATTTTAAGTACGATAGTAAAAATACATCTTAACCACTCCAAAATGTTTAATTAAATTTTGACATCGTATTTTTTTAGGGTTTTCTCTAATTAATATTTAAATTACCTATAATTAATTGACGTCTAAAAACAATAATTATTTTTTTAATCACTCGGATAATTTAGTTCGTATATAAGTTAAGATTTTTAGAACGTTGGAGTATGATGGAATTTGTCCATATTAATTAATCCAGAACGTAGTTTACAAGGAAAATTCGTAGAAGTAGCAAGCTACATCCTTTTGTCAAAATCGAATTAAATGGTAAAAAGTTAAATTAAGAAAATGGATTTTTATCATTAAATGATTAAGTGTCAAAACTGGATTTTTTTAACAAATAATAAAGTAAATAGAAATTATTTGTCAAAATCTTAACATGTTTTTTCAGTAAATTTTAAGAACTACATCAATAATGTATAAAATAATAATTATATATAGATGAATAAATAGATTATATAAAGAAAATTAGATTAACGTCATAATGTGCATGGCATGCTTCAATGTCCAATATCATCCATATTTTCATTTTACAAAATTTATTTAAAATGCATTTAATTGAAACTCAAACATCTCCTGCCCTTAAAAGCAAACAGCAGGACGAAGGGCAACCATGAAAGCAGCAGAGAAATAAAGCAAAAAAACAAATACAGTCCGTACAACGATATGTTCCAAGTAGCACACAACTGAGAATTTTAAATAGGCAGCACTATCAATGCATTTCCTGCAAAACTTAATGCCAACGACCCTCTTAATCAAAGCCAAAATATCATCAGCATAGCGAGGCTTATCCTTGAAGATTCTGCAATTTCGCTCATACTACACAAAGTACAAATAAGCGCATCAAGCTATCTTCAAAATACAAAAAATCAGCGATCTACCCTTGAGAAAAGAAACAACCCAAAGCAACTCATGATCCCAAGACATAACTGACCAGGAAACATTACTCAATCTCAAAACAACCCCAAACCTCTTTTGAAAACGGGCAAGAGAAGAACAGATGCTCCTCATCTCACACAGACCATAAAAAAACAAGAGCTATATGTAACGATACCCCATCGCAACAGTGGATCTTTTGTATTGAGTCTCCCCAAAACAGCAAATCAAACAATAACAAAGTGCCTAGAAACCTGAAAAGAAAACCACACCAATTGATGTCAGAAAACAACGCCACCCTTAACCCACGCCTCACACCAAAGCCAAGAGGAAGCAACTACATTTCAATCCGTCACAGAACCAAGAAGGGGAAAAGCTTGCTCCCTAGACTTGAGGATCTTCCGCATGCACCAGCTAAAATGACCTTTAATGTCAACCTACCACAAATTTGCACCCTTCAACACATAAGAATGAATCCAAGCAACCCATAAAGACTCCTGGCCCGCCAAGATATATCTCATAAGAGAAAACAAGCAAGCAGTCTAAGACCCCTTCGAATTTAGGCAAACAAATCTGGACCCAACTGACCTTTGCACCCGCAGCCGAGGAATCAGATCCCTTCCATAAAAACCTGACACAAAGCTGATCAATGCTTTTGATAACAGCTTGAGGCAAAATAAGTTGTCAACACCAGTACTTTACAATGCTAAAAATAACAATACGAATAAGTTACCTGAAATTACGATTACATCAATGTCCCAATTTAACTTTGAGCTTTTCATTAAGGGAATAACAATCTGTGCACAAACTTTTGGGTATAGATACGGTTTGTATGAAATAATTCAGGATTGAAAGAAGCATTGCTTTGACAAGGGTCACCGGACCAGCTAAGGACAATTTAGAAGCTGCCCAGCCACTCAACTTAGAGCAAACTTTATCGATAATAAATTGAAAAGTGCTATTGGTTATCCTATTATGAAATAAAGGCATGCCCAGATATTACTCACAATTACTAACCTTGAAGGCTTGGGTTCGATTAGAATTACGATAGTGGAGGGTTTGCCTGTGGAAAAACTTGGTGTTACGGTCCCCTTCCAACATCTAAGTGCTCCAATTTTTTATTTCTAGAAAAGCTCTTCATGGTCCAGAATCTCCTCAAATTTACCCAGATTCTCCTTTTCTAACCTTGAATCCCTCCTATTGTCCATCTTGTCCTGGATAATTGTAGGTTGTCTTTTAAGGGTCTTTTTTCTTTTGGATGATATGACTGCTCGTATTTCTTCCATAGTTTGAGAGCATCGATTAAGGTGATTGTAGTTCTACTAATTCGACCGTCGAAAATCCAGTTCTCATAGGTGAAAGTATGAAACTCGGGATGCTTAGCCTAGTCAACAATAAAGCGGAATAGACGTTAGAGGGTCGATTTGGGATCACCAAGAGTACGGAGAAGAAGGGGTTTATGATCAGACTTGAGCCTCGGCAGATGATAGACCGTCGAGGACGATGTAACTAAATTACAATTGTCATTAATCAACATACGATCCAGACGTTTTAAAACTCCTCCATGATTCCAAGTAAATTGAGGTTCTTTAAATTCGACATCAATAAGCTTATATCATTCCACAAACTATTGAAAAAGGTTACACCCAACACCTCTCCTAGTCCCGCCGGTCTTTTCTGCACTAGACATATAAACATTAAAATCACCAGCGATAATCTAAAGGATGTGTCCTACGAGCTAGGGTCTCTCCAAAGAGCTTCTCATTTTTTCCCTGTGAGGGTTTCCATATACCACTGTAACAAAGACCGAGACAGAGCTGAATAAACCAGTCACTTTTGAGAGAATAAACTAAGAGTGAACCGCTACAACTTCAAGCAAAATAGGTTAACTCCAAAGGATCCAAATGCCCCCCGAAAACATCAGCTTAAACTCTGAAAGATTTCTTATAACCCAATTTAGCAATAACTTAATCAACTTTATGACCACTGATACAAGGCTCTACTAAGGCAAACGTATTCAACTTATGCTCCATCCTCATTCTTTAAACATAAGCGGCCGTTTGGTTCACAGCATAAGATATTACCGGAGGAATGGAATCCTCATTTCCCCGTTTAGTTGACCAGTAATCATATTCCCGATAATCTTTTATTACCAACAGTGGATTTTTATCTCAAACTATTTTAGATTTACAAAAAAATTATAATTAAAATTTTATATGAAGTTCAGGGTTAAAATAAAATTTTACATTTCATTAAACCTAGTTATCTTTTTAATTTTGTAAAAAAAATTATATAAATTTTATGAATTTAAATTTTTTAAATAAAATATATATATTAATTATAATAATATTATAATAGAATTCAACTGGTTAAAAAACAAATATATAAAAAGGATAATTTGATAAAATATACATTCCAATAATCTTTTATTCCTTTAACCAAACACTGTAATCTTACATTTCTGTTAAACCAACCAAACACAAAATACAACATTTCCAATAATCCTATTCTCCGATAATCTTTTATTCTCACTGATAATCTTTTATTCTCACAGATAATCTTATATTCCGTGAACTAAACGCACGGAAACTTACCATCCCGGTATCCTTGGCAATTCATGTTTTAGACACCTTTTTGTCCGGGTTGGCATTTTTATTTTATTTTGTTATTGTATTAAATATTAATATTATTTATTATTTTTATAGACCCGAAGGCCATACAACAAGCCTAACCGGCCCAATTACAAGTCCTTATTGTTGAAATATTATTGTTGAATAATATATATATATATATATATATATGTTTATTAGTATTATTTAGGTACATTTTCTGTACGTATATATTATTTGATTGTGTTTCTTTTAGTACAATTATTTTAAGAAATATTTTTATTGGATTTGTCAAAATTCATATTTAATTTTAAGTCGATGTATTATCTTTTTTTGTTCGATTAATCTATAGAAGACCTCCAAATACTTGGGATACCCTTCAGAGGGTTATTTGAATAAAATTATTTTCAATACTATTTATTATTTATTAGATATATCTTATTTCAGTTTGAGTTCAATTTAGACTTTTTTCGTATTTTTCATATCATGAAATTATTTTAATAAATATAAATATCCATTGTCTTATTTTATTTATTTCGTCATTTTAGTTTATTTATTTATCTGTCATAATTCGAGATATTGAGTGAGCTACGTTTAAATTGGTTTGCCGATGTATCTTGGGGTTAGTAGTGAAGAATCTCGGCTCGAATTTGAGTTTGAGGATAAAAAATTGAGGTTGAAGCTTGAGCATGATGATTAATGGATGCTTTTTTCAAGTAAGTGAGTTTTAATCAAGTAATTACATTTCTATTTTAAATCAAGCTGGAATTTAGATTGTTCTTATTTTGCCTAATCTTCACTTTATATTGACTAATTGAATGATGTTAATGTATAATGTGACTTATCAAAATATTATTCTAGAGAAATTATTAATTTATCGAATATTAATTATAGGTGTTCTATTGTATCTTGAAATTGATGTTAATTATTTTAATTTTTACTATGTTGTTAAATAATTTAAAATTAATTCATTTATTATCATGCAGATATTTATATCAACTTTTTATGTATATATATTTTCAATTTCCTTTTACAATGTCACGTAAAATTGTAAATAATTGATGTTACTATTTTATCATGTTTAAATTAATTTAATAAAAAAATGTAATAGTAAAAAATGTAATGAATTCTAAAGTAAATTAATCTTCAAGAGACTAAAAAGGTCATTTTTGACATGAAGTCAGGTGCTTGAATAAGTTTTGATTCAATTGATATGATTACTATTATGCTAGCATTTGAGACAACGTCAGTACAAGTGCGTTTCAACGTATATTATTTTTAAGTATAATAATTATGTAAAAAATAATAGTATCAATCGATTTAGAGTAAAGTAAACAAATTATCCTATGATCATACGGTATAACTTTTGTTGAGTCTTTCAATTATCAAAAGTTATAAAATTATCCCGTTTTATCGAGTTCTTTTACTATTAAAAGTTACAAAATAATCAATCGACAATTATATTTTCTAAATTCATCCTTTTATGTTAAAAAATTGACGGTCGCCTAAAATAAACGTAACATACTGATTGAGATATGATAAAATCTAATCCCAAAACCATTTGACTTGTATAGTCATTTGAGATTTTGCAATCAAGTTTATCATATCCTAAATAGCAAGTTAACGTCTAACTTAAAATATTATTAATTTTTTTAATTAAAAAAAACGAGTTTAAAACATATCAATAGTTGGATGACCATTTTATAACTTTTAATAGTCGAGAGACTTAACAAAACAACATCTTATAACCCATCGATTTAATTAGTTATAGGATGACAAAATTTGATATTAACCCAAAAGTCAAATTTAGATTAGGCGTCGGTTAAAAACTTAAAACATAAACACTTTGCTGTTTCATGTATGATCCAATCGATGAGTAGTTTTAGAATAGGCCCATTTTTAGTCTCGTTTTTATCTTGGATTCCTCTTATCAATTTAATGTTTAATGAATAGCATCAAACCGAATCCATAAAAATGGATTGGATATCCACAAATAATCGAGTCCACAGTTCCCATTGTCACCCCTAGATATTCAGTAACATAAAATGGGAAGAAAAGAATTTACAGACGATATTTTATTTATGCATGAATGATGAATCAATGATGCCAACTGCTGCTCCGATTCCAAATAATCAGAAAAACACTAGCTTCAACTCAACATTCTACAAATCGGGGCCTTTTTATCTGGCCATTGGCTCTTTTGGACCTTTAACAGACTGTTCAATTCCAATTTTGTTCTTCATCTCTTTACAGAATTGAATATGCACGGATTACCTCGACAATAGGTGCTCGACACAAAGGGCACTTTCCTCCGCCACGAACCAACTCATTTGCGCATTTTGAACAAGTGCACATGTGTCCGCATCTGCAACCAGTTCTTTAATGTGAAAAAAGAGGGCAATTGCAATGTATAATTAAAGCATCAATGGAGTTCAAAATTATGGTTTCATAGATGATATTTGACCATGGAAAGATTTAGAAAAGTTCAGAAGGTAAAACCTGTACAAAAGTGAATCAATATGGCTATCACAACAAACACAACAAGTCCCTTTCCTCACATGACCCCAATTCGAACCATCGTCTGGTGTTTCTGCACTCAAACCTGAAATGCAAGACGAAGTCAAAACAGAAACAATCAAAACGACCTCGAAAAATACAAAACAAAGCTTTCCAGGTAAGAAACGTTGGGAGGATTTATGAACCTTTTTCACCAGCTGAACGATTCAAAGCCGCAGAGACTTCTTGCCTGACGGATCGCTGCAATTCCAACTGCATATCCATGCAGGCTTCCAACATCTTCTGCATGTGGCTCATACCCTGCTGGAGTCTGCCCATATCAACTCTTAGATCATTAACCATCTCCCATTCCTGCAAACAATAAGCAGTCTCATAAAATAACTGAAAAGATGCAGAGTAACAAAAAGTATTGGCAGGGTCTTCAAATAAGATATTTCAACATCTTCTATTCAACTAGGGACGACTGACAACCTATAATGGTACACAAGCAGTAGCAAATCAACGTTACTTGAACTCAAGTGCAAGTGTTGGATATAAGTATGTGTCGACTTAGATAGAGACAGTATAATTGCAAATTGGATAGGAAAACAAAAGTATCCTCATTTTCAGTAGTTACGGTAATATGCAACACTGTTACTTGAACTCGGGTGTGAGTAATAGACCCAGATGTGTCCAGAAAAATGTATCCTCATTATCTCCAAGTTTTTCCAGTTATTTTAAGATCCTTGAAGGGTCCTATCGGGCTATCCCTATATCCATGTTTGAAAATGTGTTGAACATGGGTGTCAGACACAGATACTTATAGAAAAATGAAAGGTTGGAGCAAAATATATATGCAGTTGCAAGACTAAGATAGAAGGCTCACAAGGTCTGATCTATGCATGCTGTGCCTTGACCAGCTAGTGTGATGCAAATCCTGATGCCACAACGGCTGTGGTGGAGGCACTGGAGGAGAAGGTAACATGAGTGAAGGCCTGTTGGTAGCATCATTCTGATGATCATTTGTTTCATCTCTCTGCTGCTCTTGATGATGCTGTGGTGAGGCTGGTGTTGGCAAGTTTCTGCGCAGATCCCAATCAATGGGAGAATGACTTTGTCTTTCCACATAAGACTGTATTAATTGGTCTAAACTTTCCCGGAAACCACTTCGAAGAAGATTAGAGACACTCCTCCTACAAAATAAAATGCATCAATAAAGAAGTCATTTCACATAAAAGTGTAAAGATTAACTATGCGATCAAATACCTGCTCAGGAGTTCTCTAAGTTCCATACTGTACACATTGTCATCTTCAGGCGGATGAAATCTATTGAACCTTCTAACTGGGGGTGCACGACGTGCTCTTGGAGGATCAGAAGGCTCTTCTGACCAATTTTCAACAGCTTCCTGTGAGTCATCCTCGCGCCAAACTCTATGGGATTCCTGAGAATCACTTCCTCCATTTACATTTTCAGGAATTTCTTGGCGATACTCACTAACTGAACTTTCTTGCCCATTTGTATCCATTTCTTCTGCATTTCCCTCTCTCCATTCATTGAACCGAGCATAGGTCGGCTGTGGCCAGTTTCCTTTTTTTTTTGATAGGAATAGGAGGTCTCATTAAAAACCTCCCTCTTAGAGGATCTTACCCATAAGGTAAGACCCAACTAGCGGAAGGAGGAAAAGAGTACCTCAATTTATTAATGAAAGCCAAGTTACATAAGACTTAAAAACACTTTTACAAACAACATAAGACTTCACACACTCCTCTAGCTTCTAAGCTCAGAAACAGACACCAACTGAAACAGACAAAAAAAATCACCCGATCCCCTCTTTTGCTAGCTTGTCAGCCTCGCAATTACAAGACCTTGGAATCCACCTGACAATAAAATTTCTAAAAGAAACAATAGATACAATTTCCTTAACAAAATTCGAAAGGGAAATAGGAACCAAAGCTTGATCTTTGATCCAATCCACGACCAGCTTGCAATCACATTCAATAATGAGTCTGCCCTTCAACAACCATTCTGAAGAAACAAAGATATCAATGCCTCTTCTTACAGCTTTCAATTCTGCTAAATAGGGATAAGAAGGACCAACATTTTCTGAAAAAGAGATGAGTGTAACCCGATTCCAATCCCTGAGAAGACCCCCTATTCCAGCCACTCTCCCAACTCTACTACAAGCCCCATCCACATTGAATTTAAAAAAATCAACTGGAGGAGGAATCCACCCGCACCCTGATCTGTGAAGTTCCTTAGGGGCAGAGATACTATCTGCCAAGGAAGGATCACCAATTAAAGAATCCACCTTAATATAGGAAAGAGGATATTTTGCTAGAAACCATCTTGCTAGCCTTAAGCGAACAGTGAAAAACAGTGAAAGCTTGTCCAGTTTACCATTATCAAAGATAATTTCATTTCTGATTCTCCAAATTGACCATAGCACTACACCCGGAATAAACTTCCAAATAACCGAAGAAGGCCTCAAATCAGACCAAGAACTAAGTAAGGAAGGAGGGTCAAGTGGAAAAGCTAAACTAATACCCCAATAACAAATTAATTTATTCCACAGCTCCCACGAAACCTGACAGAACAAAAAAAGATGCTGGACAGATTCTTCACATAGATTGCAAAAAGGGCAGAGAGTATCCTCCCCTAAAGTAACCCCCCTTTTCATCAATTCCATTCTAACAGCAACTTTTTGATGAGATAGCTGCCAAAGGAAAGTCTCCACTCTAGGAGGGACTAATCCCAGCCAAACACAGTTTCTCCACTGAAATGTATCCTCATAAACAGACTCTAGAGATTTCCTGCACTCTTTGACAGAAAACAGCCCGTCCCCCAAGCCATCCCACAGCAGGCAATCCTCCAAAGATTCAATCAGTTTAATGTCTTTAAGGCTGTTCAATAATTCAACCAACTGCAACACTTCCCAATCACAAAGATTCCTCCTTGTTTTAATATTCCACTCCCATCCATTCAAATCAAAACTACCAAAAGCAGCCACATTGCCACCTTTGTTAGTAGAAAGTGCAAAAATCCTAGGAAAAAGTATTTTTAATGGACAATCCCCAAGCCAAGTATCCTTCCAAAAAGAGACAGATTCTCCATTCCCTATTTGAATTTTTGCATGAGATCTAAGGCACCCTCCAATGAAGTCATTCTTTGAGAAGTTATTGACAATTCCCCTCCAAATCCACGAGTCTTTATGAGATAGGGCCTTAGTGATATCCAAGGAATGACAACTCACATTGTGTTTACAACAAAAGAATTTCTTCCATATCGAGTCTTTCTCATTTGCAAACTTCCATACCCACTTCCCCAACAACGCTCGATTGGTAAGATTCAAATCAACAACTCCTAAACCTCCACCACTCAACGGCTTACAAATCTTTTTCCAACTAACCCAATGCATTCTCTTTTTCTCACCCCCTCCACCCCAAAGAAAATTCGACATCAAAGAATTTAACTGTTGAGAAATAGTAGATGGCATCTTGAAAATAGATAGGTAAAAAATGGGTAAAGATGAAAGTACCGACTTTATAAGCACCAATCTGCCAGCCATGGATAAAGATGAAGCTTTCCACCCCACCAATTTTCTACTAAAGTTCTCTATGACCGGCTCCCACAACTTCTCTGAATTCTTTTTTGCCCCCAAAGGGAGGCCTAAATAAACTGTCGGGAAAGAGCCAATAGAACAGCCAATATCCCTCGCCCATTCTTCAAGTAAGTCATTCTCCATATTAATACCATAAAGTTTACTTTTGGCTAAATTGAGATGGAGCCCCGTCATTAGGCCAAAAATCCTCAAAACTCTTCTAACATTCTTGATCTGGGTAATAGAGGCTCGACAGAATATAATTAAATCGTCCGCAAACTGAAGGTGTGATAAATTAAAGGAGTTTTGATCATTGCCGAACGAAAACCCTTGAAACAGACCCAAAACCACTGCTTTTGAAAGCATCTTGTGAAGCAATTCCCCAACAACATTGAACAGAATAGGAGAGAGGCTACATCCTTGCCTTAACCCTTTATCAATAAGAAATTCTTCTGTAGGGGACCCATTGACTGTGGCCAGTTTCCTCCCTCATCATTGGTTGTTGGTTCCCGCCAATTCCCACCTTGGTTAGCATTTTCTTGCCAACTTATGCTTTCAACAACTAGCACGTTGTTAACCATACTTCCTGTTTGATTAGGCAACTGTTCAGTGTGACTTCTCAAACTCCTAGGTTGTGTATCCTCAATGTTTTCATGTTGGACATTTTGTGAAGTGTTTGTTTGGGGAAGTTCACTTCTAGAATCATTGATGACGTTGCTAGATATAGTTTCAGAACTGGCGCTTGCTTGACCACGTACAATTGTTTCTAATCTGTTGCGGAACCCTTCCCTGAATAAGAAAAAGAATTGGCTTTTAAGGAAATCAATGGAAAACTTGAAAGAGCTGAAGAGGGCATTGCAGAGAATTTTTCAACCTATAATCTAGATGCCACTAGATGGACTCTGCACAGTGACCCATGCCTTATTTTTATACACACACTCACACACACATGTGCCACAGATTTCTCATTGTTTAACAAGCAAGATAAACTTTTATGTGTTCTTTTAGAAAAAGGAGCTAAAAGTAAAAGAAAAATCAACCTAAGTTGTTCCCATTCTCCATGAACAGGAGAAGGTTATAATATTAATAAATAACCACAGAGACAGAGTAGAAAAACAAACAAAACATTATAAAACGGGGTGTAACTGCATAATACATCAACAAAATGTAATTAGATCATAAATTGTTAAGGCAATGAAGCTTGTTTTATACATCTATATGCCAAAATTCTTCAGCTTGTAACATCACCGTTTAACAAACATCAACCATTTTAAAACTATCACCAAGAAGTTTCGAAATAATAGTGAAAAGTTCTCTGAAAAATTCCATAATGGAAGCATGAAAGAAAAAAAATTCCTACCTCAAACCAGATACAGTGTGCCGTTGCCTTAATTGACTTAATTCACTAGCTGCCACTGAAGGTGGCCTCTCCTCTTCAACAGGTCTTTCATTTCGTAAGAATCTACCTCTGAGTAGTGACTGCAAAATTTAGATAAAAGGATTACTAATTAACCAGGCCACAGGTTGAAAATAAACTACCAAAGGACTTTCACAGAAATTCAATAATAACACCGAGAGTCAAGACACCTGATCATACAATAGTCCAGGAGTGATGTATAAAGCTAATTCCAGCATCAGCATATCTTTATTACATATTTTACTTTAAAATTGAAATGTTTTCTAAAAACATAAGAATGATGTAACTTTCAGTCTTAACCTGATATAGAAAGTATTATTCTTCGAAAAAAAGCCTCCTCTAATTTCCAGCCTAGCATGAATATATGAGAGAAGGGGGTTGAATGGTAAAAGCTTGGGTAACAAAAACATATTTATGAAGGATTTACTAAAAGAAAAAAAGAAGAAAATCATTGAATATTTATCATCATTGAAATTCTTGAGCAGTGATTAAGAATATGAAAAAAATCAATATGATACGTGATGACACAAGATCAATTAACTATTGCACACCACTCAAATGGATCTAACCAATATTAGCAAGATTCAAGCTTCTTAGCATTGCAGAAAAGTGCAGAACAGAGCCTCAGACTAATATTGAATATTTTTATTCGGGGATGAAAGCTAGAGTCATGCTTTCTCTATTTTGACAGTGTTTTCCACTTGTTAATTATTTATTTATTGGTTAATTAGTAAGTTGGCATCAGGAGAACCATAAACCTTATAAGAAAAACAAATCAATTTACACAGATCCTATTAAGTAAATTGATCAAAGTTCTTGAGCAACAGAACTAGAAATCAAGTCAAACTAAATGTTGAACCAATCAAACATGCTTAGTTCCCATAAAGTTCCTAGTAAAGTGACTTGACTTAAAATAGAACATAGTACCTTATTATTGAAACAGGTTAATCCCATATGAAACTACAATACATGTTGGACTCAAAATTCAAAACCTTGACTCAAAGCATGGAACTAACACCCATCATGAGGTGGAGAACTTGTAAAACATTTATTATGAACAAATTTAAGAAATGCATAAATCAAGAGAAAGCATAAATGAACGCTACATGATAGCTAACTGACCTGAATGCGGTTACGATGAGCAAAATCAGATACAGCACGGTGCTCCAACAAACCCTGAAGCTCCCTTTGTCGCTCTCTTTCGTTCCTCACAAGCAAGTCAATTACAGCTTGTCTTCCACGCAACCTCCTCAAGTCCCTACGAATATGCTCTGGTTGACCTTCATCTTGGTCAGTAGCATAGTTATGAGGAACATGGTCTACTTGTGCACCAATTGTAGCTTCCTGATCTTCTCTCTGTACCCCACGAACTCCTCGCTGCTGACTTGTCATTTGAACCCACTCCCGGACATTTCTAACTCTCTCACGCTCTGTTTCACCAAGCCATTCAGCTCTGGGACTGCCAGCCCTTTGGGTAACACTTGATGAATGATCATTAATCTCACTCTCCATCCATCCCCGAACAATCTGTCTCACCCTCTCTCTCTCAACTTCCCCAAGATCAGGAGACTGCTCCCTACTAGACCCATTGTCATTCCCAGGATCATTCTGTGACACACCCTGATCATTCGACAAAGTTGCAGAGTCATTCTCACACTCAGTCACATCCCCAACACTCCCTTGATTCTCACTCCCATGACTCTCGGACAGAGTAATACTAGACATGGTCCTATTACCATCAGCACTCCTTTGCTCCCTGTTCAACAAATGCTCATCCTCCAACTCCCTCCACATTTGCAAAATAGCAGAAGCCTGAGTACTGGATCTGTCAACATTACCCCCTTGTCGCCTAGAAGTAGGTGACTGTGGCTCTCTCAAGAAAGAGGAGTCGAGCATTGAAACTGTATGTAAACCAGCTAAATCAATCAGCTCAGACTCCCTGTTTCTCCTCTCCATTGTAGTTATCATTTCCTGAGCCTGCCTAGCAGCCCACCTACTCAAAATCCTAGAATGTCGCCTTCTTGCTGCGGATGACTCAGCTAAGTCATCCCCTTCAATATCAGACCTTGCCCTCCTCCTAACAAGTCGATCACTCTCATCATCCTCATCATCAGGACTTCTACTAACACTACATGATGCAAATGACATACAATCGTCAAAATGCCCCCTCATCAATTCCTCCAAACCCCTTTCGAATTCAGCTCCATCATCGAGTGGGGATTCAGGTTTTTGTTGTAAAGCTTGAAAATCTGTCATTTTCGTCTAATGCAAATAACCCATTTTCCTCCTGATAATGTACCCAATATCACAACTTTGAAACAAATATGCCAAAAATTACAAAATAAAACCCTAATTCAGCTCTCAAATTTCATTAATTTTTTCACACAAAAAAAATATCCCTATGCTCTCCGATTGGAAATGATAGAGCTCCAATTAATTTCTTCACCAGTTAACAACTCCTGTTTTAAAAAATCCAAAAAAAAACGAGGGAATTTGATTGAAAATCGCAGAAAGTGAAAGAAATTTTCATCTGAAAGAGACGTACCGGTAAATTTTGAAAACAGCAAGCTGAGAATAAAAAGAAAGAAAACTAGCTTTTCATTGCTGTTTATCGTGCACTGAAGTGAAGGATCTCCTCTGCTAAAACGTGAAAATAGGAAACCGAAACACAAGTTCTATTTGTCAAAACAAAATAAACTAAAATAGAAAATGGAAGGAAGAGATAATGATTGTTTGAGAAATTTATAATTCTATTACATGAAAGAAAAGAGAGATAATTTCGTCTTTTACTTTTTTTTTTTTTATTTATGGGGAGAAGGAGAGCTACGCACCAATTTCCAAAGGAGGGGCACGTAATCATTTTTCTTTATTATATTATTTATATAGAATAATTAATTTTTTTATGATAATATAAAAATATCATAATTATATTTTAAGTTTACAATTATGTCTGAAAAATTTTATTATAATTTTAAATATTTTTTATTTTTAATAAAACTAACAATTTTAATTATGTTAGTGCATTACCCGACAAGACAATGATTAACAACTTTTTTCATATTCATTGGGATTTATCAATTCATTTTCTATATACTTTCAAAGTTTCAAGTTCTTTACCAGACAATGACTTTTTAAAATAAATAAATAATGTAAGTATAATGTAGAATGTACACTGCAAAAATGTGGTATTTTGCATTATTCTTGTATGTTGGACTGCCTTTTTCAACGATGCTATTGTTTAGGGGGACAGGGCACCCATGGAGTACATGGCAAAATATTAGCAAATGGTCTTGTCTAGGAGGCAGGGCACCCATGGATTTATTTATTTTGATGTTGGACCATATTATTTTTAAAAAAAAAAATCATGATTGAGTTAGTTTTTGCCACATATATTTGAAATTCGAGATTTGATGATGTCAACTTGTAACTTAACTTTAGTTAGAACATAATAAAAAATTTGTTCAGTCCGGTAGTTAGATGGTTTTCAACCCATTGAAATTTTAGGTTCGACCCACAATTAAATCTTTGTTTGTGTTTAATTATAAAATAAGTGTTTAAATTATATCGTTTTTTTTTTTAAATAAGTGTCCAAACTTTTTGAATTATCCAGATGTCTAACGTTACAAATGTTACCACTTTAAGTGTCCAGACCGTAATTGTTGTTAAATTTCTTCGTTAAGTGACACGTGTCACGTTATGATAATTTTAAAAATTACATTTAGAAAGACAAAAATATTATTATATTTATAAGAAAAAAACTTCTCCTAGATTACAAAAAAGTTTCAAATACCTAAAAATCATAAATCCCTAACTTTAACATGCTGACATTGTCCTTGCCAGCCACCGACGTAGTCCTTACCATCTTTCTAGTCATAAGTCACCATAATTATCGTCGATTGGTCGTCGGGATCGCGTGAGGTCACGATTTACAATGTCAGGTTCATCATGATACACACGTCGGTTGGCCGTCGATTGATAGCGATTTCATAGGGTTATCAATCGTCAGGTGGAGGTGAGACTAGGTGGAGGTTCTTTGACGGCAAAAGGCGACGGTTGGCATGCGTTTAGGGGTTGAAATTAGGGTTTTTAAAGTTGTGGGGTTTAAAAAAGTATTTCAAAATTTTTGTTTTTTAAATATAATTTTAATTTTTTATTTTTAAATAAAATTTTTAAAACTACCAGAACATGACATGTGTCCTTTAACGCTAGAATTTAACGACCATTACGGTCGATGCACCTATTTGGGAAAAACGATATAATTTGTACACTTATTTTATAATTAAGACTATAATAAAACATCTTGCTTAATCTAATAGTTGGATATTAGAAATCTTTTTCAAAGGTCTTTATGTTCAATCCACCATAAGTCCTTACTTTGTTTTTTCTTAATTTTTCACCAATAAGATATTGATAGTGATACATATCCTAATTTAGCTGTTTATGAACTTGGATCGAAATGAACGTTTTTCTTAATCATAGTAACTTTAATAAAAAATTATTTTGTTTCAATGACCAAAATGAAATTACCTTAAAAGTTTACCGACCATCATTGCATTTTACTCAAACTTTCCAAGTCTATTTCGACAGACGCATCGTTATATTTTAATATTTTATAAAAAAAAATAGCTTCAAACAAACGTCGATCAAAATAAATTTATATGCAAATTGATCGTTGCAAATTGTAAATTGACTTAAGGCAACAAAGAGAAATCTATTTCTTATTAAAAATTATATGTATTCGTGTATATTTTAACCTTTAAAAGTATATAGTAAATCACAGGGCACGTATAAGATTTGGCAAAGGACAAAGGGCGTAATATTAGGTTAAGAAAAGCACAAAGGGCGTAATATTAGGTTATCACTCAAAACATAGTATATAATAACTATTGAATCGTGTGTAGAATAACATTAAGTTTGTATTATTTATCTTTACCATATTTTTAAACAATTACTACATTATAATCATCTTAACTTAATCGTAAAAAATATATAATATTTTATTTCGTTAACGGGTATACTCATTTCCGTCACGGAAGATGATATGGAACCCTATGTCGTTAAAGGGTCAAATTTTAACTTAACTTTTGTTGTTAGAACATAATAAAAAATTTTGTTTAGTCCGGTAGTTAGATGGTTTTCAACCCATTGAAATTTTAGGTTTGACCCACAATTAATCTTTGTTTGTGCTTAATTATAAAATAAGTGTATAAATTATATCGTTTTTTAAAATAAGTGTTTAAACTTTTTGAATCATCCAGGTGTCTAACGTTATAAATGTTATCATTTAAAATGCCCTGACCGTAACTGTCGTTAAATTTCTTCGTTAAGTGACATGTGTAAAAAAAGTCTCAAATACCTAAAAATCCTAAATCCCTAACTCAAACCCGCTGACGTCGTCTTTGTCATCTTCCTAGTCATAAACCCTAAATACTTAAAAATATTTAAAACAATTATTACTTTATAACCATCTTAGCTTAATCATAAAAAAATAATATTAAATTTATACTAAAAATCTTAATTGATACTTGTTTTTAACTTATTTCTTAAGTAAGTGATTGAATAATATATTTTTATCATTTAATTTGTTGGATTAATATCTATTTATATGATATATTTCTTAAAATTTTACATATTTTTCAATCAATTGATTAATTGAATTTAATAATTCAAATTTAAAATTTAAAATATGACGATAATTATTTTTTTATAAAAATCTTTTTATTCGTTATTGTTAATCTTAATAATATATTTTCATTCATTCAATAATTTTAAAGAATGTATAAAATTTAAAAGTTTTATAATATGTTAACATATCCTAATGTATATATATCCACTTACATTTAGTATAAATTTTTTTATCTTTATATATTTTTAGGATCATTGGATAAATGAAAATAGATGACTAAAATTATTTATATTTTTAAGTGAATATATTCTCATTTTTTACAATTATTCTCAATCGTTTATTTTAACTCATCAAACGATCTTAACAATATAAAACTAAAAAAAATCATAATGTTAATGGATCATGTATCTCTCTCTCTATATATATTTACACATGTAAAGATTATATTTAGTGTAAATTTTTTAGTTTTTCATTATTTTAGAATTGTTGGGTGACTGAAAATAGATAAATGAGATTGTCTACTTGTAGAGGGACTAAAATAGAAACAATTCAAAAGTTAAGTGATTAATTAAATTTAAATGACCAAAATAGGAGTAAGATAATAGTTGAATGATGAATGTTGTATTTTACCCTTAAAAGAAAACTCTCAAACGAGCCATTAGCATTGAACCTAAACCAGCGACCGATGTATATAGATAACGAGAATATCAGAGAAACCTTAAGCTGGACCGAAGAACACGAAAGCTGCGAACTCAAAGAAAAAAAGCTAGATTAGATAGCAAATTCTGAAAAGAAGTATAAATCCTTTTGTTTTTGTTTAAAATTACCTTAATTTAGATGAAGATTTTGATTAATTTGCTTAACCTTTGCTTTCTCTTGTCCTACTTATTTATGTAGTTTGGTGTCCTTGTTTTATTGTTATTGTTTTTTATTTTATTGATTTTTGGTTTAGAAGAGGAGAAGAGAGAAATGGAGTCGACGGAGTCGTCTTACATGTCATCACCAGAGGCGGCGAGGAATAGATCTCCGCCTCCGCCTAAATCGCCGACATCTGGTAAGCTTTTGATCTGATCTTCCTTTTATCTTCGTTTAGGCTATTCAGTTTGTGTGTTTTCTGTTTTTCGAGTAATGGCGGAAAAGTTTGTTATGTATTTTTTTTTTATTTTTTCTTTTCCTAATCTAAAGATTAGATTTGATTAGAATTTGAAACTCTAACCCTAGCATTGTGCTCTGGGGAGAAATGCTAATTTTATTGTGAGGAAAGAATGTGTTCTCAGTATGGTTAAATGCTGCCCAAAGTAACAGAGTAGAAGGGTGAGAAATCCTGGAGTTCCGCTGACAGTATCTTTTATCTGCGTTTATTTGTACAGTAACTGTGAAAGTTGAACCGACTATGTATGAGTTCAACAATGTTGGGAGGTGTGATGAGCTGCAAGTAAGGGTTGTTTTGGTCACGGTGCTGGTGCTCATCTTTAAAGATTAGACGTGAAACCAAAGAAAATAAATTGAAGTCATTGATGGAAAGGCATATGTATAAAATGTTTTTGTTTCTTATATATTTGAAGATATCATCGAAGTAATTGATTCGACTTCCTAGATGCTATATTTAACAAACTAGTCCTTCAAAATTTTCAATACTAAAATGTAGAACATCTAGTGTATATCCTGTTATCTACAGCTTGCATTCTTATCTTTCGTATACCTGTAGTTTTCTCCGACTCATATTCTCTAGGTTTAAGATCTGTCCTTTTACAGCTACCAGCCTACAGTCTACTTCAGGATCATCCCTTGGTTTTTAAATGTTAAGTGACAGATGATAGGGATTTAAGTTACTTTGGAGATGTTAATAGGAGATGTTTTAGGAGATGTTTTACCGATCTGTGTTGCTTGCTATTAACTATTCAAATGTATATCAAAAATTCAAAATGTTGATAAGGCTTGTGTGAACATTGAAAATATAAGTTTTATATTACCATAAGATCAGATTTTCCACTTTTTCCATGTGTGAGATGACATTATTACCATCAGAAATCAAGGTGGCATGTCTTAATAAGCAGTACTTGTTGAGATCAGGCTACCACAGATTCTGTTTTTAATTCATTTACTTCACACAGTTGATCTTTTTATCCTCTTATTTGTTTTTTGCACTGAAAGAGAGGAGATTGTTTCAGTTGATAAAAATTTCATGCGTGGTTCCAAAGTTCCTCATTGACTACAAGTATGTTAGTGATGTTTTTTTAACATATTTCTTTTGGCAGATAATGCAGAGAAGCCTACGTATATCAGGTTTCTTGTATCGAATGCTTCCGCTGGTTCTGTAATTGGAAAGGGTGGCTCAACGATTACTGAATTTCAGTCCAAATCAGGAGCTCGAATTCAGTTGTCACGCAGTCATGAAATTTTTCCAGGAACATCAGACAGGATCATTATGGTCTCTGGAGCAATTGATGATATACTCAAAGCCATGGAACTTATCCTTGCAAAATTATTGAATGAGGTGATCTTTCTTTTGAGGACTTTCTAAGTTTTAACTCTTTAAATTTTCTGACCTTTTTTTATAGTAATGAAGTTTGTTTTTTCTGGTTAGCTTAATATCAAAGATAATGATGATGCTGAACCTAGAACAAAAGTGAGGCTAATAGTTTCCAATAGCTCTTGTGGCAGCATAATTGGGAAAGGAGGGGCTACCATTAAGTAAGAATTCTACTTGGACACTCTGATTATTGTACATATTTTTGTTTCTTTGTTTCGGCAATTAACCTGGATATGATGTTTTTGCAGGCTTGAAATCTAAGGAATTTTTAATATAGTTTTTAGTATGCTCATAGAATTGTAGCATACTAACCCGGCTTGTTTTTATAAAGAATATGTGTTCATTCTTCCATAATGCTGTATTTATTTGGGAATAAACTTCATAAAAATTTTAAACTACACTTGATCTATAGTATGTTCAAATAGGCATGACTGGTGTTTGCTTACTTTGGAATTGAATCATGTTTGAGAATGTCTACAATGAAGGTTATACATGGCCAACTAAGTTAGGGATGATTAGACAACTTCTAGCATTGAAAAGGAGAAATTTCGGTGATAGGAACAAATTTAGTAAAGATTACAATCGCTATAATTTTGATGCAGCTTAGTAAGTTGCTTCTAGAATTGCATATTCATAACATGCAGCTTAAGGTTTTTGAGAATATTGGTTTCTTATTAGAAGGTCTAGCTAGCCATCAATATCTAAACTGCATGATATTTTGCTATATTTTGCTTTCTTTTTACAATGGAAGTACCTTGAGCTTTATTTATGATTGTATATCAATTAGGATCATGGAAAAGAACCAAACTAATGTTATCATTGTACCTTGGTGCTCGGGTACTGTGTGGGCTGAGGACATTTTCTTCAAGATGGACCAGTCTCTTAAATGTAACTATCACATGCAAGGAAAATTAGTGCTAACCTGTGCTTTTCTACATTTATCCACTACTTCCACCTAAGTGAGCATGATTTGACTCGGAAGTTTTTCTGATTTATAAAGTATGACTGCTGTTCAAGTGAATTATAGCTGCTACTTGTGGCTTAAGTCCCACATGAAGTTATAATTGGTTGTTTAAAGCTCGTGTATCCTTAACATGCTCCCCTCATAAGAAAATTATTGCTGTGAACATAATCTTTTCTGAATGCATTTGATGAAACGAGAAACGAAACATATACTAAAAGTAATTGTTTAAAGTAGGCTCATGTTATATGTCTGTGGTCCATGGTCTGTTGTTAGTTACTGTTGAAGCATTATTTGTGCCTTTTAATTGAGTATTTCTGCCTTAGACATATCCTAATTGTTATTTATCCCTTTTTGGTAGGTCATTTATTGATGGCTCCCAAGCTGGCATTAAGATATCTCCACAGGATAATAACTTTTATGGCTTGAATGATAGGCTAGTAACAGTGACTGGCACAATAGATGAGCAGTTGCGGGCAATTGATTTGATTCTTTCAAAGCTTTGTGAAGACCCTCATTATTCACAGGCTATGCATACCCCATTTTCATATCCAGGTGTGTTCTTGTTTTATTTTGCTATTGTGTCTATGGTTGCATCTGTCTCTGCTTTATAAACACTATATTTCCATTTTATCTCCCACCTCTTTCACGGTGATATCATAATTCTGATATGCAAAGAGTTACTTATTTACCATTTAATATTTGACAAAGAGAACTTTTTATCTGTAACGTGACTTTAAACAGTTAAAACTAGATGTATTTCCGTTCATCCATATTATCCTTTTTACAATTTTCCATCTAGTACTAAGCCCAAGCCTGACAGTAGTCATCCTTCTCATTAGAACTTTCTGGATGTGCTGTGAATTTAAACATTAAACTTAGCTGCCAGCATGATCTTCAAATTTCTTTTTGTAATATAGAACACACTGCCTTTGTAACAATCGTTTTTTCAGTATTTCACCTTCCACTGAGACCGCGTCTGACACAAGTCTTCCATCCCATTTTCTGATATTTTAATGCTCTTTTTGCCTTCACATTGTATAAAATACATACATAAATAAACAACTCTCGAGGGCTGAATGCTTAGACAACTGTTACATTGTTTTCCGTTGGACCTGGGCCTTTCAGAATGATCACAGAAACCTAAAAGCAAAGGGGCATAACAAACACAAAAAATTGGAAGTGTTGCACCTATGTAATTTATTCTAATTGCAAATTTCAACTGACGGTGTTCAAATGATTAAAAATAATATGTCTTCAAAAAATTTCTATAAAAAAAAAAGTCTTCAAAAAATGTGGCCGAAAAATCATGATGCCTCTTTCAACTTCGTACATGAGAATAAGATATTATGGAAGTTCCTTTATGTGTTTAAACTCCAGAGGTTCAGCTCTTTGAAAGTTTTAGCTTTTTTTTAAGGATGTTTTAACAAATTTCAGTTTTCAAATAATCTGATTCTTAATGGTCATTTTTCTTTTTTAATTTATGGTGTGAGTTTTCCGTGATGTACAATTGTGATTTACCTAGGTATTATGACCCTTGTAGAGTTCTTACTATATCTATTACTAGCAAGATTTCTTTAATTTGGTCCTGGTAAGCTTTTTTTAACTTGAAATTTTTGCTATTTTCTTCTCTGGTTTTCATGGTATACCACATGCATACGTGTTTCCTTCTGTTGCAACAGTGACTTACAATTCAATGAGCTATGCACCAAATGGGGCTGGAGTGAAGTTTCCGAATCACAAGGTTCATCTCTTTCTGTGTGCTTTCTCTGTTCTGCCTGGTGACCGATGCTATTTTACTTCGTTCTGTTCTGTGCTAGGGAAAGTATATTAATTTGTTATTTTTTGTTTTGGCATTTTCACGGAGGATGATAACATGCTCCTTCCATTTGTTTTTTTTTTGCAGACTCGTACAATAGTTAATTTGTTAACTCATTTCTGCCAAATTTTATTATACTTCTAGAACTGTTTTATTGTAGTATATGTTACTCGGACTTTGGTATGAGTGTTGGATACGAGTATGTGTCCAACACTGGATTGTTTAATTTTTTCTAATATTTTCCATGTTTTTTGTAGGGTCCTTAGGGGGTGTCATATCCCCATACCTTATTTATTTCCGTATATGTCAGACATGGGTGCTTTAAGCTAAATGAAGAATAGGAGCAATATAGTTGTATTTCTAGTGTCATTTCAAATTTTAATGTCTCACTAAACCCTTATTATTTATTTTGTAAGTGATGTGACTGATATTCTGAAATCAACAACTCATACTATATGCGTACATTGTCGTTAATCGGTCTTTGCTTGACGGAATTATTTTACATGTCTATACAGGAGGATCATAGCAACTCCATCACAATTGGTGTTTCCGATGAGCATATTGGACTGGTTCTAGGTCGTAGCGGAAGGAATATCATGGAAATTAGTCAGGTTTATAAATGAGAAATATATACACATTTGGTTCCATAATATTTTCGCTTGTGTTATGAATTTGAGCACTTTGTCATTGCAGGTAAGCGGCGCCAGGATAAAAATATCGGATAGAGGCGATTTCATGTCCGGAACAACCGACAGGTACGAGAATCCCGATTTGATCAATCTGCCATTAAGCATCGAGTTCATAGGTAATGTTTTCCCCTTTACCTCGTGCAACAGGAAAGTCACAATCATGGGATCAGAAAGAGCAATTCGTCAAGCTGAGTCAATGATAAAGCAGAAGGTGGCAAACTCCACTGAGAGGGTGATGGATTAGTCTTCCGGTTATCAAAAGATTCGAAACCATTATTGTCGAGTTTTCCGACTTGCTCACATAGTTTGACTGAAAACGTATTTGCATTCATTGGCATGCAATGAGTTGTTGACAGAGATGTAAGAGCAGGAAGGGGAATTTTTTTTTATCGAGCGGAGCTCTTATTTAGGTATTTTTCGAAACATGCAAACTAATTTTCTTGATTGAAAAAATAAAAACACAAAAAGAAAAATTATGTTAGAATAGGCTATCAATTGCAACAGCTAGCAATTGTTTACTTTTATTGAATAGCTGAATTATAACTTTAAGATGATACCTATTTTTATATTCAATTTAGGCAGCATTTTTATATATTAACGGTGGAATACTCATTATGATCTAAATCTATATTAATTATGTATTCAACTTATTCGGATTCAATTCGCTTTACTGAACCTATATTGATTGGATGTTCCTTTAGAGAATGCAAAATTTTGTAAAAAAATGATTTACTGGGTAAATTTAATGTAAATAAGAATGTTTTAAAAATTAGACCGGTGAAAATTTGGTTAAATATTGATTTTTGATTTATTCTGCTTGATTGGTTCAATTACCAATTAAAAATAATTAGAAAATTTTAAGATAAATTAAAATTTTCATTATTAAATTTTATTATCTCTCCTATTTTGCTCGTTGAACTTAGTATATTGGATTTTTTTTATCGCTCGGTCGTTAAATTTGTAATTTACTCAATTTTAAAATCTCAACCGGTTGAACCTTGATCCCATTTCTTGTCTTTTGACGGTTTGCAAATTTGTTTATTTAACTTGGTTAGATTGTTTATTTTCAATTCAATCTATCAGTTGTAACTACTAGAATGAATACCAAGTAGATTTAATTTTTAAAGTAATTACAAAAAATTATATAGATATTCGATCAAGGGAATCCATACATTGAACGAACAGAGTAGCCTGATCGAGAGTGCAGGGAACAACTTCTTGTACGGAGGGCAGTAAGAGAGCCAACTTATCATTATGGAAATTTCCTTTTCCAACTAAATTTTCATACTACCTAATGAGGGTTAGAAGAAGAAGAAGAGTAGAATTAACAAGTGTCCTTTATGGATCGGTATATCACAATGAAACATGGTCTATAATACGCCTTACAAAAGGCGTGGAAAGTCTTGCACTATATTACGCAACCCCCATGCAAAAACTATACATTTCTATTTTATTTTCAAATCATAAATCACAATAATTAACTATAATATCCTTACTTCTACCTGAATCCAATATTTCATCTTTTAATTAGTTTATGGCGAGTAATCATCGTCTCCGCCGCCGTACCCCTGAACCATAGCCAGACCCTGTCCATAACCATTCCTGCCGCCGCCACCCCCACCTCCTCCTCCTCCACCACCACCTCTTCCACCTCCGTTTCCGTATCCCGATCCAGATCCATAGCCTGAGCCATATCCGCTCCCATTCCTTCCACCTCCTCCACTGCTTCCGGACCCATACCCACTGCCTGATCCAGAGCCACTTCCTCCTCCTCCTCCACCTCCACCTCCACTTCCACTTCCTCTACCAGAACCATACCCGGAACCCCTTCCGGAACCATATCCAGAGTCCAAACCATTAGCACCTTCGCCACCTTTCCCTACGCCGCTAAATGACCTAGCAGCAAAGGCCAAGTCCAATAGAACCAAAACCAAAAACGCAGCACCAATAACCCTAGTGCTCCCCATTATTCTAAAGCTAGTGAACAAAAACAGAATAAAAGGAATTAAATGCAACCACTCTCACACGGTATAAACCAGGGTTTTAAATAGTGGTCTACGACAGCGATAGTGGTCGCGAAATAACGGTAGCACTGCCTTTTGATATAAACGTTATACCCGTAATAGCACTCGCTATGACCGTAATCACAGTAAACGCGACATGATCGAAAACGAAACTGCGATTTGAATCCATGATACAGACAGGAAAAACTTTAACAAGCCTGGCTCTTGAATTGTGTAAAAGATGAAGGCCAGGGTCCTCTATTTATGGGGCATTGCAAAGGGCACTAAACACTTAAATAATCAATTTAAATATCCCCAAAACCTAGCTCAAATTCTAGTATCTTCTTATGTGGCTAATGTCGAAACGATTTTTTTAAAAAAAACAAATTTAATTTTTAAAATCTGATTTTTAAAAGATTTCATCTCGAATAATTTGTTGAATTTTTTAATTATAAAATGTGATTCGAAGAGTCGTCACAATCTTTGATTAGTATGTGATTGGGCACTCAAAAACGTATTTGTTATTTTAATAAAAATATTAATTTTAATTAAAACAATAAATTTATGATACGCATTACCAAAATTTTGAGTTCGGGGGTCGGTTACGCGTGGGGAAGGACTAGCACCCCACAGCGTACTAAATCGGTACCTAGTCGATCAATTAATTGTCTTTGCAATGAAATTTACGAATTCGAATTTAATTTAATTTAAGATCTCATACAAATAATATTATTTGAATTTTAGGACGAAAACACCATAATATTTAATTATTTTCTATCGAGAAGAATCGATCACTCCTACCTTGAAACAATCAATTCCCTATTTTTTTCCCATGAGTGATATGATCTAATCATCATTTAAACTGCAGGGCTTAAGTATTTGCTCGGCTGTAATTGATGGGGGGAAATATTTGGTAGCCTTTGGTGGATACAATGGGAAATATAATAATGAGGTATTTGTTGTATATATGAAATCATTTTCTCGAAGAGCTCATACTGATCTATATTTCATTATGCATCATTTTACCATTTCCTAGATATTTTATTTGTTGTTTGCTGATAGGTTTTTGTTATGAAACTCAAGCCAAGAGACTTATCTCATCCGAAGATCTTCCAGTCCCCGGCAGCAGCTGCAGCAGCGGCTTCTGTTACTGCTGCATATGCATTGGCGAAGTCTGAAAAATTGGAATTCCCACAAATAATAGATCTGAACTTTAATGCAGTTGAAAAGAGTGTTCCTCAAAAGGATATCAATACGGAAATTGATGCAATTAAAGAAGAGAAGGCATTGGAGACATCGATTGAGGAAGTCAAGGCCGAAAACTCTAGGCTGAGGGAGAAGATCGATGAATTAAAAAGCAATCATACTGAATTATCAAAGGTATGATCTTGAAGTGACTCAAAAAAGTCGTCGTCAATTATATAGCTCTGATGATTAACAAATCGATTTGAAGTGTTTGCTATATTTAATTTCTTGCGGTCGAGCAGGAACTCCAATATATCAGAGAGATCAAGATGCTTTAAACTTGAGGTTTTCCAATTTTCATATCTTTTGGTTTCATTCTAGCTTTTTGTGTATTCTTTTTTCAGTTTCGCGGATTCAAGATCTAACACATAGTTATATTTCCAGGCTCAAATTGCAGAACTACATAAGATGTTGGAATCATTTCAAACAGTAGAAAACGAAGTGCAAATACTTAAGAGGCAAAAGTCTGCACTGGAGCAGGAGATGGAGCTTTCATCTGCCCAGCGGCAAGGTTCGGGTGGTGTTTGGCGGTGGATAGCCGGAGGCACATAGAAGTTGCATATCATTCGAAACAAAGGATCATACTAGTGTTGCTCCTGTATCTCTGGAGCAATGACTAGGTAAGTTCCAAACCAACTGGTATAAGTGGGTGCGGTCTATTTGAATAACACTTACATCATGCACACTGTTAACGTGTTTTACGGCACTTTTCTCAGTCGGTGTTTGTGAGCTTCCGAGTTTCGATTTTGAGTATTAAAGTTTTCATGCACATGAAAGGAATCAATTTGCATACTACAAATATCTTTGCCCCCAGTGATCAGAAATTTAAAAAATCGATGTCTTTTCCAGGAATTGAAGTAACTGTTCTTGTGATTTCAATAGCCTCATTATTATTTTGAAGACGAGAAATCCTATAGCTTCTTTGCATGCGTTTCTTTTGAGATTTTTCTCCTAAAAACAAAAAGATAGCTTCTTTTGATGATTTCCGGTAAATAGGTGTGTAAATGAACAGAGGATTCAGTGAATTGTTCATGAACCGTTCGTATAACATTCGTTTATGTTTATTTGTTATGCTGAATAAATGAGTATGAACAAAAGTTTTATGTTTATTTCCTAAACGAGCAAAATTAGCATAGGTGTGTTCGGTTTGTTATGTTCACGAAAAAGCTTGTTATAAACTTGTTTATCGACTCGTCCATTTATGTTCATGAACAAGCTCATTTATAAGCTCATTTACACAATTCCTTTTTTGTATATCTTTTTTTTACATTTTAAATATGGGTTAAGGAAGTAATTAAATTGAATACTGTAGACAACCGTTTTGTCCGGTTTATAGGAAATCACTTGCAACCCAAACCAGTTGGAGGCCTAGTTCAAGTCCAAAGATCCAGCAGAGTAACTTTCATTCCACGTGAGAATCCCCTGGAAAATAAAGACGGTTATGAGGAGTTAATAAGCATAAAAGTGAAGTTAGTGAATAACGGGGTCCATGATCAAGGGAAAAACGGAAAAATGGAAGTTTTTTTTATTGGAATTAACCACCAGACACGGGAGGAGATATCAGCAAGGAAAGGAGACAGAACCAGAAAAAAAAAAGAAAAGAGAAAGGAACACAGAGCCAAAAAAAAACTGGAACCAGCCGAAAGACATCAATAATTAACAGAGAAAGCAAAAAAAAAAAATTGATTCCCCATCTATTCTTCTTACAGTTTAGAAACAACGAAAAATGTTGAAGGTTCTACTGCCCGATTCTAAAAAAGGAGTGTAAAAGCTGTGTCAACAACATCCAGGGATTCAGAGATCGAACGGTGTAATCAAGATCTTTCCTATTCTATTTTTTCGAAAGCAATACCATCAATTTGTAAGTAAGTTATGTTTCATTGTTTTTTTTTTCTGAAAATAATGCTATGTATGGTTCTTTAATTTTCTGTTGAAGCCGAGAAAATAAGAATAACAGAGAAAGAAATTAGAAAATTACCTTAGTTGTGGATGACGATAGAGTCTTGGTGGCTCTGTCTTTGGTCTTCGGGATCGAGTGTTGGAGAAGAAGAAGAGAGGCTGGGGAGAAATGATAATTAGGGATTTTGTTTTAGTCTGAGGATTTTAAAATGAAGCGTCAAACGACGTCGTTTAGGGGAGCTCTCGCGTGTGGATCATTTTCAGTTTAAACCCTTCCATGTTTTGTTTAAGTACATTTTAGTCCATGGTTCATTCTTTTAAACGTTTCTGATTATGGTATCAATCTTTGCGCGTGTTGCATTTCAGTCCTGCGTTGTATTGTTTTTAAGTTTTTGTTACTTTACATATTTGGCTTAGATTTTTTCTTGGTTTCCATTTTAGTCCACAATTATTTTAGAGCTATTTTCGCACTGTTTTTACATTGGTTGTGTAATTTTTGGAACCTTCATTTTGGTCCTTGAACGAATTTTTTGCACCCTTTTAATTTGGTCTTCATTTTTATGAGTGCTTTTCATTTTAATCCTGAAATGTTTTTATACGTTTTATTTTTGAAGTATAACTTGTAATTTTGGTTATTTGACAATTCAGTCATTTTGCTTGCTTAGTTTAATCTTATTTTATTTTGGTCCTTCATGGTAATTTTGAATATGAAATCGAGTTATTAATAGTATGTTTTATTGTATATATTGTTTTATTCTAATGTATGTTAATGTCGTAAATACATATGATTTTTTTTATAGATTTAGAAGTTTGTTTGAGTGCATGGCATATTTTAATTAGTTTTTGCATGACATTATTTTGCATAATATGCATGAGAACATCATTTGCATAACTCGACCATATGACATAATTGGATTAAGGGTAATATACTTTTAATTTAAAATTGTTTTAAGTGGGCAGTCATAACTGATTTGAGGTCCGCTTTTAGTGATTTTAAAATAAAAGTGTATCCTGAAAGTGAAACCAAAATTGATTCGTCACCTAAAATTTGGGAATGAAAGAAAAGGAAATGTTCGTTTATTTAAATTTATCGAGAAAAGGTTGTTATAACTTTTAAGATCTGGTCTCGATATTTGTAAATAATCGAACATTCTTTATCTTTCTAAAACGACTCGGTAATTTTAATTTAATTTATTTGAGTGCTTTTGAATGTTTTAAATTTACATTTTTATTTTATGGGATCAAAAATCAAAATAAATTTGAATTTGTAAAGTTCATTGTAAAGACGTTAATTAATCGACTAGGTACCGATTTAGGGCGTTGTGGGGGTGCTAATCCTTACCCACACGTAACCGACTCCCGAACTCGGATTTTGGTAACGGAGACTTCAATTTGTTGTTTTAATTAAAATTAGTTTTTATTTAAAATGACAAAGTATTTTTGGGTGCCCAATCACACCCTAGTCAAAGATTGGTGGCGACTCTTCAAACCGTATTTTTCGATCGTAAAGGAAATTCAAAATTTTTCGAAACGAGAGGTTTTTTTCGCATTTGTTTTTAAATTAAAAAGGGACAATTAAGAATTAATGTGGTTTTCAAAATCTCACTTTTTTTCACCTTTAAGAAAAAATCGTTTCGACAGCTTGGCGACTCCACTGGGAACTTTTTTTAGAGAGTCAGGCCGATAGTCGATTAATTAAATGTCTTTGCAATTGAAAGTTATAAATTTGTTTTAATTTGGTTTTTGATCCCTAGTTTGGTTTTTAATAAGTTTTGTTTGTATTTTGATTTTTTTTTAATTTAATTCGATTAACAATTAAATAGTTGTACTAATCTGTTTGCTAATGGTTTCAGAATAATTGTTTGTTTGAGGAATTGATTTTGAGTGTTTTTATTGTTTGTTTTTTCGCTTTTCCTCACACACTGCACAGATGCATTATCATAACATGAGCTAAAACCCCACTCCGTCCTATTTAAGTAGGAGTGAGAGACTATGCCCTCGTGTGGTTTTCACCTCCGCATGGGATAGTGGATCGCTCCTGGAGCTCACGCCTTATGGTCCTCGTGATGGTAATCACCTCCGCATGGACATAAGGAGGTGTGTTCCCTCGAAATTGAACTCGATCCCCTAAAGCCTGTGATGGGCCAGGATTGAGGGTTCGGCAACCTAAGGGGACACCGACAAGGACAATTCGAGAACCTATTACTTTAGAACCTAACCCGACATATAGTGAACATAGAGCATGAACTTAGATTGAACCAAACCCGAACCTTAAGAATCCCGTGAGGAGGGTACACAAGGAAAAGCTTTTTTGAGTCATTTATTTTCATTTTTTCGAATAAATGCATGCGAACTAGATATCATGCGGTTAGGTTTATTTTTTGAACAAGCATGCAAATTAGATATCATGCGGTTAAGATTTATTTTTGTGAATAACAAAGCATGGGGGTAGATATCATGTTGGGTAAGATCTGATAAAGCATGATGGGGTAGTCAGCATATGTGGGTAGGATTTTTGAACAAATTATTATCCTGAATTAATTGCTTCATATTTACTAACCGATCTTTTGTTGTTTTTGCCTTGTTTCTTTTCTGTTTTGCATTGCATTGTCCATTACATGGTGTTGATTTGGGGTCGATATCCATATAGAAGGCCAGTAATATGGAACGAACGGTTCAGAAAGAGGTTGAGGACAATGCAGATGTTCTGAGGTGGTCGGAACAGTCCCAATTGACCAATGGAGACAGCGTGATGCCCGGATATGTGTCAGAGTTATTTGGTTACACTCACATCAACGTACGTCAGAATGATCTGAGTGAGCTAAGAGAGATATGGAGAAAATGGGAAGCAGCCGATAAGGAGATGTTTTATCAGTTGTACGGCGATATTCCTTACCTTCTGGATGTTCCTATTGACCGAAATCTGTTTAGAGCATTGGCGCAGTTCTGGAATCCGGCTTATAGCTGTTTTACATTTGGTAGGGTGGACCTGACACCAACAATAGAGGAGTATCAAGCTTTGGTCCATTGTCCGAGGTCCCAAATGGATAGAATATATACCAAGCTACAGTCACTCCTTCATTTAAGAAGAAATTACTATTGATGACCGGAATGAGTGAAGATTGGGTAATCAGAAACATTAAGAAGAAGGGAGACAGTGAATGCATCTCGTGGGCTACTCTGAAAGAAGTAATTGCTCATCATCCTGATAAGAGAAAGAAGCTTGATTTGTTTGCTTTAGGGATTTATGGGCTCATTATTTTTCCAAAAGTGCTAGGATATGTAGACGTATCAGTTGTTGACCTGTTTGAAAGATTAGACAAGCGCGTGGATCATGTTCCAGCTATTCTAGCTGAGACGTTCTGGTCTTTGAGTTCTTGTAGGCGCGAGGGAGAAGGACGCTTTATAGGATGTGCGCCTTTGCTGCTAGTGTGGATTCTGAGTCATTTCAAACATGTTGAAAGGGCACCAGGATGAGTATTTTTAGACAGTTTCTCACCTTTGAAGGATTTTCTTTCTAAAGAGTGGCCTGGGGGTTTTACCGAAGAAAAATGGATGGTCATCTTCAAGAATATTAGAGATGGTGATATCTTGTGGCGAGCTTCATGGAATGTATCTTCAGCTATACTTTACCGATGTGGAGAGCGAGATTGGGTTCTTTTTCCAGGTATATGGGGTTCTGTTGGGTATGCACCGCTACTAGTTTCCAGACAGTATGGATCGAGGCAGTTCATCCCAGCCACGTGGGACTTGGTAGGATCGGATTTTGCA